ACGGTCAACACAGAAGATGGTACTCTCTTTCGGTGTTCATGGGGGTACCAGCCTCTTGAACCTCCCGGGGGTTAGTGTCCTTTTGTATAGCTGACGGCCATTAATGTCCCGGTTCTATTAGCACGAATATCTGGGGTCTCGGTATTTTGACCACAACATCATCTCGAAGCATGCTTGATCACTCGCATAATACATTGGTGCGTCTGTCTCTTGAGCGGTCTGAGGCAGTCAAATTCGCCTCTGGGCACGCTAGTCCTGACATGGAGCGATTTGGCTCTTGTGGTTTTACGAATATCTAAACTACTAGGTTATTTGAACACTAAAAGGCCTGGGAACCCGGTTTCCTAACTAGGTTCAGCTAACCCTTGCAGAATCTAGCCTAAGCGTGCGTGCCTGGTGACGAATTTGACGGGTTTAGACTGCCCACGGGATAACTTGTTGGGGGCATTTTCGACCCCCTCTTTTTCACGGTAGGAATATAATCACCAGCAAGAACATCCGGATTAGTAAGTAATACTGTTGCCCCCCGTAATCCAGCAGCAATTGACTTCAGACACAGTTATGGCCCTCAAGGATAAGAATGGTGTTTCGGACTATCGAATATCACACAAGAGGCAACCCCACGGCTCTGACGACTACCCGAATGTTCCGCCTACCTTCTCTCTCCAATAAACCGAACCCGAGACCCCTTCCCGTCTTTCAAGCCCTCTCGTGGCCCCCACTATTCCCACGCACTGGGCGCATCATTCTTCCTTCTACGGCTCCGGCTCACCCGCCCCCGCACATCCAACCATCTCCCTCGAGCCCGAGGAAACTCCGCCAGCAATTACTATTTCTGCTTCTGTTCCCACTGCAGAACTTGGGTTTTCTGTGGCAGAGGTATTGTCTACCCTTGCTGGCAGAAAAAAGCTGGGAGGATCCTTGATAACCTTCGGGTACTCCGCTCAGCGGAATTAAAAGTATTTAGAAGGGCTTATTTCTTGCTTGGGGCACTGGTATGCATCATAGAAAGTGTTTCCGCTAACCTTGTTAAAATCGCATTATCTAACTTATACACCACAAGAAGAGTGTATATTCGACCCTTGTATCTTGCGGGGTACGGATAGGGAGAGGCTCCCGGGCCGGGCTCTCAGAATGAGCGGTATCCCAGCCGTAGCTTGGACTTGATTCACAGTTTGTTGAACGTGGCGAAGCTCCGGTAATAATACCAGCACGGTTTTCATCCAGGCTCTCTTTCACCCCAGGGCCAAGTTGAGCGCAGCAAAACTCATGGTCATGCTAATTATTTACAAGGCGGTTGGCAACTATATATCATAGGAACCGGGATAGTTGAACCCTACACTGCGATGCCCAGAATTCCCCTCCCTGGATAACATTTTATATTACACTGGACCGGTTTTTAAACATACACCCCCCAAACCTCCAGACAGAATCATTTCGTTTTCCGGTACATTCCCTTGCCCCCCACATCTTGCTAGTGCCTGTGGGTGACTGAGTTGTTTTTCTAGATAATACCGTTCAATGTCACTCGGATACCCAAGGTCTTGACCAATTCCCGCTCACCAAGTTTGATGAAAGTACGGTGGGAATTGTGTTAGGTGAACCGTGAGCAAACACGGTGAGCCCGACTCTCGAAGGCGGGGCCTGCCGTCTGACTAGGTCTACAAAATCTCATATACGGGCGGGGAGATTCCTGTGGGGTAGTGCTCTACGCGGGGAAGCCATCGCGGTGCCAAACATTGCTTGACAGGTCCACCCTCCAGCCCTTGGGATGTCCCTAGCCACTCCCCGTGTCTGGCGCCTCGGATCTGAATTCAAAGGAAGCGTTACCTTTTGGTTTCTGCCGCATTCCATGAACTTTAAGATATGGTCTAGTTGTTTTAATACTGCAAGGGCTTATTTCCATTTTCAATTTTCTTTCTTGGGCTTTACTCGGCCGAAAAAGCTATATAAACACGGCTGGGAACCCTAAATAGTCTACATGGCATATCTAGATCTGGTCCTATCGGGAAGTGGGTCAATAAAGCTGTAGGAACAGGTAATGTATCATAGGAGCACTACATCTTGGTCACTCCGTGGCGCAAGAGGCTTCTAAAAACTCCAGATACCCGGATGGGGTCTGACTGTGCCTGGGCCATTCTATAGTCCTACCCTACTCCCCCCCGTCCCTCTGCATCCTATGGAGGTGCATGAGCCTCCTTCCTCCGGGCCCAGTTCCCTAGCCTGGTTGCTTCTGCTCTCCGTGACGCTCCCACGTCTTTCCCCCGAGGCCCTCGCCGGCCGGGTCCCCTGTCCTTTTGCCCCCGGAGGAACTCCTGTAGCCGGCTTCCTAGCCAACCTTGCTGGGCCCTCCCGCTCGTATTTCTTCTGGGACTCCACGTTCTTCCCCCGCTCAGAGGCCGCCCGCGCTCTCTATCGTCCCCGGCGGCCCCCATGCCCGGCCTCAAAACACCCCGGATCACTAGCGGTCCCCCGTCGCCCCCCTGTGTCCCCTTCACTGAAACGCGCTGAAGATGGGGACCTTGCGCCGGTGGAGGTGGCTCGTTTGTCACTCTCTGCGACCCAGTACCCAAGACTCGCGCACAACCCACCAAGGAACCGAGGCCCCATGTGCCATGCCCTTGCCACCGTACTTATACCCCCCCCTCTAACAAGACTATCATGCACTACCATGTCTGCCTGCATAACCTTGGCCCGCCCCAGCTCCACGGCTGGTGAATCTGAAATGTAGGGGTCAGCTCACCGCAAGCTCGGTGCTCGGTCAGCAAGCACTGGGCTGTTTTCATGTGATGACCCCGACATCCCGACGATGGAAGGCAAACGCCAAGGGTGGCAATTGTGGCAGTCGCAACTACAAGAGTAATAGGGCGGGCTGGGTGCTGGGATCGAATTGCTGGAGGATGGGCTGGTTATGATACATGGCCAGACATATGCCCCTGGTGTGGGCCTTGCCCAGGCTGATGGATGAGAGTTTGTTTCGTATGATATTGTGAATTAGGGCCGGTGCGGGCGTTACCCTTATTGCTTTATGGCCGCTCTAGATGCGGGGGATCCGGAGGCGACGGTGATTAGGGGGTGGACCCCCCTACCTGCTGTACGATACCTACCGTGAGAACTCGATTACCATAAAACTTGCAATCCGTTATTGTATTATCGCGGGAATCGCTCCGTTGGCCCACGATAGGTTCCGTTTGGCAAGTTGACTGGATTGCTGGAAAGGGAGGAGAAAACTGCGAAACTAATGAGATCTGGCGTGTCCAAATGGCCCAGGATATACCGTGCCATGAAAGCGCTTTTGTAATCGTTAAGAGTTTTTCTCTCTGAATCCGGAGGTTAGAGCCCTCCCGCGGATACTGCATCACGAAGGTTCTCATCATACGGCAATTGGATCTCATCCTAGGGTATTAGAGTTGCCTTTGCTAGTGAGGTCCCGCACTTCTTTTTGTCCTAAACTGGAGTTGAGGGGCCAGTCCCCCCCACCCCCCCGTGCCGGTATCGAAGAGGGGGGATTTTGGACGTCCTGGAACAAGGTTCAATGATTCGGGTTCTTAAGGTAGCTATATGGTGGTGAGGGGTGCGTGAAGGTCTATGTTGTGGGGTATCGTTGGTTCTAGAGACGCCTTATCTGGATAGGAATGCGAGGTAGTTAATCCCGTTAGCTCTGCGATAAACAAGGCATGTGCTGTACGGCCATGGGGAATCCCAGATGCCGAACGCCTCTATCCTCCCCCCTTTCTTATTGTTGTTTGTAATATTTGGTTCAGAGGGCACTGCTTTTGATGTCTTCGGGAAGTCTTGCCATACAGGACTGAGGGTGGGAAAGGCCGAAGAATGTTATGGTAAATGGAAGTAGTAGGGGAAGTGTAGATTTGAGACTGCCCGCCGTTACTAAAGACCAGGGGATAGGAAGACCACCGCAATGATAGCCAAGTTCAAAAAAAGTAAGCATCAGCATGCGTTCCCAAGTGAAATACCGGGACCGAAGGAATCACGGCTGGTCAAAACAACCCGTGCTCATTGTGCGCAGGCAGCTCGAGCCCAAAATAGGGAAAACCCCCGTTTGTTCCGTCTATAGAAATGGGCGAATCACGGCTTACAGTAAATTAAGTACTGTACTGAGAGATTCTATTTCTTATCCCGGAACAAGCGCTTTCACTGAATTCACAGGCTCTAGCAAGGAAATTCAGCCCGATTGCTCCCAACAGCGGTCTAGACTCGGACAGCACAACTTCTTGCGGCGGTATCGTAAATCCCATTCACACACTCCACAGACACCCCCCCCAGTATGATGTTCAAGTTGATACTCAACTTGAGCGCTCTTTCGTTCGAGAACGTGTGTTAGCGCTCAACCTGCGGTGACAGTATCGCTGCCAAGACACTTGCCCGTATTGCAGAACATCGCGATGATGTGGGGAAACAACATTGGATACATTATGGAAATGGAATAGTCCTTTCCGGGAATGGTGGTATCACCGAGGATCACTCGGGAAACTGGAGCGCTTGCCCATTGGGTGAAGCTCCATACTTTGGGAGTGGGGAATCGCTCCCTTGCGCAAGTTCATTGACTTCCTGTTCAGTCAGCAGTATTTTCCCGCAGCGGTTACAGGCACTAGCATACCTAGAAAATGAAGTAACTCTTGCCACCGATAGTATCCTGATCCTTTGTGGGCGGGAATAATTTTCTGGCCTCTTCCGTGTGCTGGGGCTTATGTGACCGCGCTTTCGAGATCGCTTGCGGAGGGCTGCGCGAGAGTCTATCTTGGCATCAACCGGGGCCAATCACTTGTAGATATAGTGGCTCAGCGCACGAGGTGTCTGGAGGGTTGGGTGTTGATTGAGATATTGCACTGAGGAAGCAGGAATATTGGGTCAACCGGGCATCTATTTGACCCTTAGTATAGATAAACTACTGAGCAGAATTCTGGATCTGGGATAGATTCATATATACTGCTCATCACTTCACATTTCTAATGCTTGGAAGCCCCACAGAAAGGGCCGAGAGTCTATCTTATGGCCAATACCGATAGAAGATGGGTCCTGTGTGCTCCAACTTTGTTTTGTATGCAAAGCCCAACCTTTAATACCAAAACTGATGTATTCTACAGTTCCAGCATTGTCTCAACAGCCGATTTCCATCCCAAACTCATCTCATAATGGCCTGCCAAGCAACTGCAACTTCCTCGTCAACTGTAGAGGCATATCGGGCCTAGACATCCTCTCCGGGTGCTCCAACTCAAAAAACATATATAGCCTTCTCCATCCACTTGACCTAAAAAATTCAACTCCCCAAAGTTCCAGATTAAGTACGGAATACCCCCTCATTGGATCTGTCAGGAATCGTTCCAGATCACCCCAGTCGATCTTCATATTCTTAAGCCTTAATTCCCTCATCTGGCGAAGCCTCATCGGTTCAAGCGTTCCCCCGATTCTTGGGTCAAGATCATATGTCAGTGGATTCCCCGTGCCACCAGCGATACTTAACTTGGAGAGAGTGAGACTGAACCCGGCGATGAAGCCGTGAATCCCCTTCGACATGACAAGTTCTCTTTCCGGACTCCCGGCAATGATAGCTGGTGGTAGCGTTAGACTTAGATTGCGCACATTCGACCAGGCACCTTCTCTACCCAGCAGTGGGTTCCCTCCATCGCCGTAGCCGGGGAAAGAGCGTAGGTGCCAGAGCGCGAGTGGTGTTGGAAGTTGCAAGTCGAGTGTTTTCAGGACTACGAATCCACTCAGTACGTGTTGCGATTCCTCGAGTTGACAGCGCAGGTAGACGAGTGCTTCGTCAAGTAGCGTTCTCCCCCAAAGATATTCTGTGCTTGGATTACCCCTGATAGAGAGGGCCTGAAGCGTGGGCAGCCGGTCAAAAACCTTCTTGAAAAATCCCTCCGGATTGGACTCTAGGTTCAAGTCTTCAAACAACCCAGGCATGACGGGGATGTCCGGATCCACAAGCCTGTAACTCCCGCTCGGGCCGAAATGCCCCTGTGCAGGAAGAGGATTCAGACTACTCTTTCTTGTTGGATCTCCTGGGTGGAGGCATCCGAACTCTATGGGGCCGACATTATGGAATGTAATAACGAGGCGGTGAGCATGGTGTCCTATTCGTCCAAGGGCATCAATGTACACTAGGCGGTTGAGAGGTGTGCGTGCTCGCAGGTCTAAATGGAAACGGATCTCATTGAACATTCTAGGCCTGTCTGCTGCAAGGATGCTGTCCATCCGGCGGTTGACTCTTCTGAGCGACCGGAGAGATTTCGGGTTTAGAAAGGAGAGAATGTTCCGGCGAATTCGGCGGGGGGATATGGGGTTTCTGCTATCTATGTTTGGAGTTTGTGAGGCCATTATGTCCTCCAAGGTAGTAGGAGGTTCTGCCATGGCTGAGGAATAGATCCCGCGGATGGCGTTTATTCCTTTTCTTCCTTATATATATATAAACTTGTACCGGTAAGTGTTATTGGGGGGGAGGAGGGGAAATGGAAAGGAGTGGTGTTTGCTCTGAACTTTTAGAGATTAGTTAATGAAAAGTCTTCCTCCAACAACCGCCTTACAACGCTGGAGCCGTAGTTAGGAGTTAGGCCATGGCTTGACACCTTCTCCAGTGGGGAGCTGATTCTGTATTAAGTTTTTTTTTTTTTTTTTTTTAAAAAAAAAGAGGTTCTCTGTGAAAATCAAGACCGCTTGATCAAGCGGGCCCAAAGCTCGCAAGTCCCAGTGCTCCGTCACTACCTTATACAATTGTTTGGACTGCAATTTATTAAAACCTGCACATTGGCTTTCAATGCCAAAAAAATTCTTTTATTTGCTCGACCATGGGGGCAGCTAGACTGGCCCCGCATACTACCTGTTGGTGCATAGCAACGGACATGGCAACGGACAGAAAAAGAAAAAAAAACAGAAACTGGGTTTAGGGTATAGGGCAATGAAATTATCATTCAGAACTATCAGCATCGGGAAAGAATGATAAGGCAGCCTCAGAAGACAGGCATAGTAGAATTGAAAAATAATATAAATAGTTTAAAGAGGAACATCAATAATATTACTTGACTAGAATACCAGTCTAAATGTAACAACTTTATGATAAAGTATAGTTGATAACCGTCCTTACTTACGCCTAATACTTAGAAGCATTGATTTTGCTGCCCCCGTAAATAGGAACAAGCTTATGATCCAACTCACTCTTTCCCTGTATTCTATCAGGCTGTTTTAAATTAAAGACTCATAGTCACATTGGGTGTGCTCTTAACAATACCTCTTTTCACGATACCTGATCCAGAGTTACATATTCTCACCCTATGCGGTCAGCACATGGGCAACTACCTGCTAGATTAAAAAAATACCTTCGAGCCTTGGATGCTCTGCGTACGGTATTTTATACTCAAAAAGGTAAAGAAGACTTCAATTATTATTACTATTTCCATCCCACAAAGTCCCCCTAGTCACCAACTATCCCTATGATTGAGCCTACATTCATATTAAAAGGATACCGCAAAGAGTTAATAATTCAGAATCACGCTAAGCGTCCAGAATTTCCCCCTTTGGATTGGGGGGAGAAAATGCAACGACACTATCCTCTTTCAGCCCTTACTTTGGGCAAGTACGAGTAATTGCTGAAGCAATCAGTCTATGTGCCGTACATTCCAGTATAGCGGGAATAACCGTAAGCTAGATCAGGCTAGGGTTGAGGGTTTAGTGCTTATATAAGCCTCGATCCCCTGTTGCCGCTCAAAGCTTCTCTACCGGTGCTCGTATGTTTGCTTTTCTCTGTTGCCTTCTTGCATCCGATCCACCAGCTCACTTCCGTGTCAATACAAAACATTCCATTCTCTTCTTTTTTTTTTTTTTCCGTAAATGCATGTCTTCCTTTATCCCCCATCCCCAGTTAGAACGACATCATTGACAGACCAAGATAGCCAAACATGTCGTCTGATGATCGTTCCGAATTCCGCAATACTTTCATTTACGCTTCCAACGATCGTAATACCGTGCTCGGAGGCCTCTGGGCCACACCAGGTATTACAAACCGCAATCTCTATTCCATGCTGGAGATTTTTTGTTTGTTTAGCAACCCTTTCGAGCTACACAATGAGGATGGACAGTTGGTCGAAAAGGATGAGGCACAGCTTCTAGCAGGCAATTACTATATTGTCACTGAGGGTGGGTTTCTGCTGTGCTTTCCATCTTTAGCCGCTACTCACTGTGAATAGGTACCATCGTTCTCACTAACGAAGTCCCGCTAGTTCGTACGACTTCATTGCAGTCCGGAACCCGTGTTGCCGCGTTCCGTAATGAAGTACGTGAGCGGGACGGGGCCTGCGTTTTCACCGGTGCCCGATCAAGCAGGTGGAGAGGCTTGCAAGCCGCTCACATCTTTCCCCTGGCATACGAGGGGTACTGGAATGATCACAACTACGGCCGCTGGATTACCATTCCGCCGGCCAATCACTCCCACGGATTGATCAACTCTGTGCAGAATGGCATCTTGCTCAGGAATGATATGCACCAGTATTTTGATTTCTATGATTTGACAATTAATCCCGATGTATGGATGGCTGGATCCTCAAGTCTTCGCGGCTAATAATTGTGTAGGATAACTACAAGATCGTCTCCTTCACAGAGGACTCCCTTCAATATAACATCCCTCACCAACTTGATCAGACGTTCCTCGATAATTCACTCCGACCGGTCGATCAGCTTCTCCGCTGGCATTTTCGCCAGGCAGTGCTCACGAATATGAAGGGAGCTGGGGAGCCTTGTTTTGAGCACGATTTCCCGCCTGGCACGGACATGATGGGTGAGATCATGAGCGGCCCAAAGGCTGGAGAGAGGATGGAGTTCGAGCTGTTTAGCCGCTTTAATGCAGCGGGGGGTTCACACCTGGTGAAGTCTACCTAGAGCACTACTAGCACAGTATTCAATAAAACTGGGTTTACCAGCGGTGTTCGCTCATAAATTCACCAGAAACCAAGCGAGCCCGGAGGTGTGATGTTAAACAAGACGAGGAACCAAAACACTTCATTCCAAGTACTACCATGGGCGGACCCTCCTCGCAGCCCTCCTTCCAAACATAAATCCATAAATTACTACCACTGGGCTCACGGGTGTTCACTGCGACTACCATCCCGGATGAATGCATCTTCCCATCTTGTTCCACACCGTAAAACCTTGAATAATTGGATGGTGTGCTGTGTCATTTGGCTTTCTTCTCTCAGCAAGGTCAAGAAACTTTTGTTCTTTTTCCGGTCTCGGAGGGATGAAAAGGGCTGTGTTTTTGCTGTGTTTTCTCCCCATTTCCAGAGAAGGAAATTCCGGGAGGGAGACTACATGTACTCGTGCACAACGCATAATTATTCAAGCTTACGGTAGTCCACCAAACCCTTTGAGATAAGAAAACGCTGCTATCGCGTTTAAACAAGATGGATTGCAGAAGATGTTTTGAGCATTCAAAACCGAACTGCAGAGGCAATGAACAGGGGACACATAAGGTCCTATATTGCAAAGAGCAATACCTGAGTAATATTATGGACATATACCAGTAGCCCCACAGGGAGGAGACCGGTAGGATGGGAAAGTTGGCGGGGTTGGGATTTGCCAACTAGGGTTTAGTGGAGGAGAAGGCTATTTTGCTGACAGTAATGTGGTGTATAACCAACTACACCACGAATTTATTTCCAGCTAAGGAAGGGTTTTTTCTAGATCTCGTAATTTTCTTAACCAGATCTCTTGGGCGCAGTGCCCGATGGACTAAGGGATAGCCGCCAGGTCAATACGGTACTCGGGTACGGTACATAACGTGAGCTGGTATCTTTCGTTGAGCTAAACTACGGAACCAATCTACCACAAGAATCTCCGAGTCATCTATGATAGACATACATACCCTTCAGTGCCAGCTCCGACCGAACAAACCTAGTGCGATCCAAGCACACTACCGGTAAGTCATTAATCTGATTCATCATCATCCTCCAGCAAACCCTTCTGGACCAAGTGACGCCAGGTTGCTTCCTCAATATATCCCCGGAGACGATCAAAGTGGAGAGCAATAGTGTCTTCTTTCCCCCAGCCCTCATTTGCCAGGTTATCGAGCTGACTGCGAAGAATATCTCTAAGGGACAGCTCAAGTTTCTGCTCTGCATGGCTTCTTGGTGGAGGAAATAAACTCTTCATCTTCGATATTAGGAAAAGTAAAATCTAACATGAGATGATTGTGGGAATCACCTTCCTGCGCCCATGCTTCTTCACCTGGCCATCCACTAAGTGCCATATTTCAACAAATCCCTTCTGGATCTCAGTCTCGCCATCACGGAGCGGGTCAAGCTTGATTATTATTATCTTGCTAATTTTTCCTGCACTCCCCTCAAGCAAAAGCTTGACGTCGGCTTTCAAGTCCTCGTACGGCTCCGTATAGCCAAACTCAAAGACCAGAGTAGGCCAGAAGCGCCCTCGGGGTACAATTGCGCAGTCAGGAACTTTTATTCTGTTATAGTGTGAGCATGATGATAGTAGAAGGAATTGTTGAAATCATACACAACCTACATTCCTTCATATTCTCCCATAAATCCCTGGAGGCTTCCTTCAGAAATAAGAGAGAGATCTCTACAATCAAAAGCCCCTACTACCTCCCCTTCTTGCCTTAGATCCGATGCCCAACTTGATACCGTTCCGTGGAGTTGTGACGGCACTTTTATCCTTAATTCACCGGTAGCGGGACGGTAGGTATATCTAGAAGTAGTTTGTTAATATCTGGTTGTAGAAATTTTTTTGAATACATACGCTCGGTTTCCAATATGCGGCTCTAATCTAGCGAAGTCTTCCTGAGGAATACCAAGAACTTGATATTCATCTAGCAAGAGTATCTTGGAAAGTTCATCCGGCGTCATTGGAGGCCCTAGATTCTGGGGGCTTCTGAGATACTTGGGGATGCGGAGGATTAAACCATAAGAATGAAGCAGAAAGTGGCTGAAGGAGGAAAATACACAACCTGCAATTATTTCTCCCAAAGGTGGCAGAGGAGGTGTAACACCACATGTGATCTGCTGACGTACTCGTACAAGCATAAACACGTGGAAAGTGTCTTGGCAAACTTCAATGAACCCGATGAGTGGAGGACTGTACTCGAGTAAATTTACATCAGCTTCCGAACGATTTCCCTGACCTCAAATATTATTCTAGGCAGTAGGAATGGTTTACGTAATTTTTGTCTTTGTCAACATGATCTAGGGCCTCTAACACCAAAGTTTGGATCTTGTCTATACTTTCTACTGGGCTCTCTAACTTACGGGATTGCCTTTGGGCTCTGGGGGAAGGCACTGGGTTTCCGGGGAGTGAGCAAAAGTAGAGTATATCATAGCAGTCCTGGGCGGGGGGGGTGAGCAGCTCGGGCCACGAATAGTGGCTAGGTTGGGTTTAGTAGGTGAAAAGTTCATTATTTTCACCAGTAACGTGGTGTTAGGTACAACTACACCACAAAACCGGATTACTCTCTCTTGAGCCTCCCGAAATAGAAAAATTCGCAGCGAGGTACACTCACTCCAGATCAGTCAGTAGCTAGCTAATTATTATATTTCGAGTTATAATATCATTACAACCTGAAATATTTCCACCTCAGCCAACAATATGATACATGATATCATACATGAGGAGCAGCCAAGCAACTCTGTTTCTTTCTCCGACCAACCTCCAAATATGAGGCTCTTTGTGCCAAGACTAGGTTAATCCCACCCCGCCCCCACTATCTCGGAAACTTCTTTCAACCTCGCTCAATATAGGTATCTAACCCCAGGAAAGACAGAGCACGTTCAAGGGGAGGGAAGTGGGTGCTGAATTATCCACCCAGGTCGATACTGACAACCCTTCAGAGCCACGCTCCTGCCGAGCCCTTCCGGCAGCGACGGAATTCGTTCTCAGAGGGAAGTGCCAAAAGATGGTCTGTCGGGTATCTCCCTTTTCGAAAGCCCCAGCACCACCTCCACCACCACCACAAGGTAAAAGGTGTCATCTGGTGTGGCGGTGGAATTTCCACATACGTCGGGAACCCGGAACTCCGCAAACCTGGCCCAGGCCTACTTGAACCTCCAAACTCTAGATTTCCCTCACCCAGAGGCTGCCTGTAATATAGGTTTCTTCCGCTCCAAGTCAAGGCCTTTCTACACCCTTGCGAAATCGCGGCACCCTGGCCAATTTACCCCAACAGTTATGCATGCCCTCACATCACTCACGACGAAGAAGAACTTGCGGCACAGGTGCTTCACCTAGAACATAGACACGTTTGAATGTGCAGCAGGAGTTCCGCTAGAGAGGCCCATGGAAGCCCACCGAAGCCCTAGCTCGTTTACTGGGTAGTCGCACATTGGTTGCAACCGCCAGGACTGGTGGCTGGTTCCTATACTTGTCTCATTCCAAATCGCAGGGGACCTACTGTTGGACATGAATGTTTTTCTGCTGCTCACGGCATATCCACTTATTATGCGGTAAAGTTCCTTGAAACCTACCATCTCCCGCAGTCCTGTGATCCCCGGATTATGGATCAAAGATTCTGTGGAGGACTAACTATTTCTAGCATTTCGAGGTTTTTTGGTTTTTGGAAGCACCGGTGTCTTGCTATTGCCTTGAGCTTGGCAGGTATTTATTTTTTCTGTGTTATTTGTGATAGGTCATAAGCGCTTTCCTTCTCTCTTGCCATTCCGCCACCCTTTCGGAGTTGCTGCGTTGGCTGCTAGCAGTGGCGTCCGGCTCCCGACAGGCGAGGAAGAAACGGTAACATTAGGTTGCGCATGCGGGTATAAGACAGCTGCCTTACGAGTTGATCGAGGGAACGCATGGTTTTCATGGGAGACAGTACTATTGCACATAATAGGGAAAAGCTCGGGGATTGTTGCAGTCATTTATTCCCACTCGGGTTCTGGCTGGAGCCTCGCAAACATAGACTATGCAAGCGATTTGGCCGTGTCACGCTCCGACACCGCGATTCAGACCTGGATGTTCATGCCGGGCAGCGCGAATGATGTGAACTTTGTGGGGTCTGCCGGTGATCCCGACGGCACAATAGGGGCGTCACAACGGCCGCCTCCACAACAACCACCTTTTAAATCACCCCCACGAGCAAAATGCAAGAGGCGAAGCCCTACCCTAGCCCAACAGGTGGTGGGGATGGCGCTGGCGATGGTGCTGGGGTATAACCCGGTTTGGCGTAGGATTGCTTAAGTTTCATGCAGTTCTGGGGGCTGGCCTTCGAGGCAATTGGATTAAAGGTGCGTGGAGCAAGTTAAGGTTTTCTATATCCAGATGTCACTACACACCCACACGCGATAGAGGCTCAAAAGCGGGGCTACACATCTGCTGTGGTTTCACTGCTGTCCCATTCTCCGTATCGGCTCTGACGACTCTGCAAATATTTGCAACAACGTTTCTGTAAAACTATTAGAGGCGGCTTGTTATTATGCATGGAGCCCCACATCCGTTCTTCGGTGATTAGCTTCTCTAGCCCCTTCCTACGCTTGGTGTCCTCACCTTAGACGTCCTTAGCACTGTTCTCATCCCCCCACACTCGTTATGATCAAGCAAGCTCAGCTCAACACCGGAGGTATCACCTTCGTGGACCCCGTCTCCACTTGATATCGCCCCACCGTCTGCGCCCGCCCCAGATCCCCCGCCGGAGCCCGATTCACCGATAGCCCCCGTCGAACAACTAGTGTGCCCCCCCCCCCCCGCCAGCCGCACCGCTGAGAATCCCGAACTCAGAAAACTCATCCTCTTCACCCCCCGGAGCACCACCACATATGTCATCATTCCCGCCCACGGAAACCCTACCATCCCCCGGATTCGTGGCTTTCCTCCCGCCTACCTGGTGCTTGGTTCCGGCCCTATCGCTGTCCTTACTTTCGTCATCAGATATATCCCTTTGGGGGCCTTCGCCTTCATCTTGGTGGAGCATCTCGCGACTTATTGGAGCACCATTGTATTTGGGGTCAAGTAGAACTGGGCTTCCTTTCCGCAACTTACTCTTTCTACACGATTGTTAGAGTTCAGCGATGGGGATTTGGGGACTCATATCCCACCCGATCGTTCTAGAATGCGCTCATCACAGATCTTCTTCATAACATCGTCTCCACTACCTTCGGATATCTTGCTGTGGTTATAATATCCCCCTAGGCCTTCGGGATCGACGTCTATTACGCGGGGATTATTAGTCCAGTAGCCGGAATCTTTTGGCGAGCAAATAATCGAGTGATTTTTGGTGATTAAAATATGCTCCCGGGACGACCATAGTTATGTAGCAGTCGACAGTGCATTCTCAGCTCTTCTCCGTGTCGTTCGGCCACCTCGCCAGACTTGTCAGGTGTAAAGTAGGCACTCTAGAGGAACTGACCCCGACCTAGACAGTTGCCAGCCAACTTGCTGTCCCACTGCAGAAATAGGATTTCAAGAACCAAGGTGCGGACTTTGGTTAGTTGGTTATCCGGATCCCCACCAGACGTCCTTTAATCCCGAACGCCAGGTCTTGGGGTATGAGGGGCCGGGGGGGGTATACCGTGAAGTTGATGGATGTTGAATCTGTTTAGGATGACGTAGGTTTTCTTCCGAGGTGCAGAAACGCTGCACCAAGGGTGGGGGCGACAAGTAGGACCCCTTGGAACTTTCACACATGGGTGGAGATCGCAGTCAATACCGGGATCTGGTCCTTTGCTCAATGAAGCTGCCTCCTGCTTCGAGATATGCCAAGCGAGTATCATAGAAGAAGAGAACAAGTACCAGTATAACCATAGGTTTAGGAACATACCCCCTATCACGGCACCGATCCAACAAATTGAAACACGGTTATGAAAGAACTACACGTACTCTCTGCCCCAAATCTTACGTTATCAGACCTTCATTGAAGTTAATTGCAACAGACTACAATCTCAAACGATTGGTGCATAAAAGACAACCTGTCATCCGCCTGTGAACCTCCCACGACCAATTCCCGTGTAGTATTTATATAACCTCCTCCGCCTTCGGCATAGCCCGTGGGAAACGCAAAGAATGGCTCGGCGGTCCTTGCTAGCTGGTCAGATCCGTGTTACTGATTTTTCACCTTTCACTCTCATTAACACAAATGGCTTCAAATCCGTCGCTTACCTCCTCTCAAACATCCACCTGGTCCTCCTCATCATCACTAGGGGCCATCAGCAGCGTGTAGTATTCCCGCTGTTCATCTGTATCCTCCTCTCAGGGAACTTGAAATTTGTTCCCACCAACGGAGAGGAAGCGATCGAGGGTTTCCCTGTGCTCTAGGGCATCCTTGACGAGCTGCATATTATAGCAACCGACTGGGATGACTAGCTAAAGCGTTATTCACAACCCTGTTCGTTTTCTGCATCTGGTTGCAAATGAAGTCAATATCCTCAAGGTCGGAAATTTGCTTGCGCAGGCCAGGTTCCACTTCGTCATTGCGCATGAACCAGCACCGAATCTTAATCCCTAAAGAGATGGGAAGGTCCAAGGTCTTAATCCCACCGAGAATGGTGATGGTGAATGGTTCGAGATCTTCGAAGCTCTTGTCGCCAATAATTTGCGGAAGAATGTCAACCGGGAACTCAGCCTCGCCTGCTCTGCTGTAGACAACCCCAGCCCGGCGTGTAACGTCCTGTGACTGAGTGAGGGTGAAAGCAACGCGATCAATGCATTCAGCTGGTACCAATACGTCGAGGTCCATGGTGACACGCTGCGAGCCTTGACAGATCAAGGATGCTCCGCCGATGAGGATATATTTCTCGCCGAATGCCCTATCGAGGTTGGCAGTGGCGGTCATAACCATGGCTAATTTTTCGCTAGTAGAATTTGCCATTGCTAGAGTTCGGAAAAATGGCTGCAGGAGTCTTCTTGCTACTAGTGTTTGCTCTGTTATACTTGTGGCCCCTCTTGCGTGGCTAAAATAAGCAAAACATGTTAGCACGAATCACATTTTGTTTAAGTGCTTACTTACCCTCAATTTGCAGCAACGCAGTGCGGATGGCAGGTGGGAACTTGATGGAATTCAGGCAGGAAGTTGTTGGATGGAAATTAGCACTGGGGAAAGGGGATGTGCGTGAGTGGGAAGTGGGAGGGGGAAGAAATGGAAAGAGGTAGCAAACAACTCCCAGTCCACGCGTTCAGGAACATAAAATCAATCATGCGTATATTCGGTCACTGCATTCTTGAGGGTGCAGTCCGCCCATCTTGAGTACTAGCTATCTAGGATCACCTCCTGACCTCCAGGCTCGCCTTCCAAGCAATTTACCGTGGATTTGGAGGGGCAGAACCTTTGGCTCTGGTGAGCTCCTTCTGTAACCATATAGTTGCCGTATCCCCCAGTTCCACTATACGCTCCCAGATGTCCTTTCATTTTTCTTCTGCTTGCATAGTATGTACTTATAGCATATCTCGTATTCCGGCTTCCTTGAGCTCTTTTAACTGGCAAGGGCCCGGACCACCTCATGAATTTGTAAATTCATAAACACTCAACACTGGTCCTTCCTCGGCATGGCCAACTAGCTGTGGGTACGATATTGACAACAGTATACCGAGGGATATGAAACGAACTTTTTTGTAGAGCGTACGGTTGTTCCATGCTCGAGAAGCTCAGTTGGGAGATAGTAGGTAAGTTGTTGCTGGAACATTAATATTTCGTTCATATGATAACACGGATGAGTATTTTCAGAATCAATGCATTCCGAATTCGTAACTAATATACAACGCCGCCTTATATGCTGTAGCACTACTGGTGCCCTGTAAGTATTATTCCGGATTCGTGACGATACACTTCGATTCCAAGATGGAGTTGGTTCAACTAATAAGGAGACAGGAGAACAAACAACAATAATCAACATCAATCATAAGTCCGGCGGTAGCCAAAGCGGATAGGACTGGCTGCTTGGGTCCACTAACCGTACGATCCACTAGCAGAACCTGTTTCTCCGCACCTGGAGCTTGCTAGATGCGACTCACCCCCCCCCCCCCGTCGCCATGGCGTATCGCTCTAAATATCAGTTGCTGCTGCCTTGCTCCTTTTTTGTATGTTGCTTCCGCTTTTCTTCTCTTTTGTCTAGCTTGCTAGAGATAATCTCCTTGTATTCTAGACGAGATTCCTTACTAATAACCTACTAACCGCTAGGAGAAAGTTGCCTCTAAAGGAAAGAAGAATCTTACGGGGCGTGCAGTCTCGTCGCCGGTTCAACAACGTTGCGGTAGAGGGTTTGCGCAGTCAGACCTAGGTAGGAGTTATCAATAGTGTTACTCAAGGCTGTTGGTCGTATAAATGCCCCATGAAACCTCCGCCAAATGCAGTACTTTTTAAGTCCAATTTTTCGAAAAATGCATGCAGCGGTCAATTCTCAAACATTTTGTAACCACTCTAGGTGAAATTGTATTTAGGGAGCGGGGCTACAAAATCATACCCAATGAAGGCATAAAGGTGCCATGGAAGTCCACATTCAGGGCCCTCAATTCCAGGTCCGATTTCATGGGTATTCCACCTCGACCAGGTGGCCAAGCCTTGTCATAACTTATGTTAATGCTACCTAGGCCTGTGTGCGCAAACTCTCTGGTAACTACTTAGAGTCACATCAATGACGGCGATACCAAGACGCAGTGATTAGTAATCAGACAACGGGATAGAATCTGATGGGGTCATTCAACCCGAAGTCCACCTCTCTCCTCTCCATTACAACATCTTCCACCCTGAGTTCTTGCCACCCTTTGAAAATGTCTTCACCCACCAGCTCCAAGTCCAATCACCCCGCGGGAATATCACCTTTAGCTCCTGCCGGAATCCTCGAAACGGCCGGAATAAAGGTTTGCATTGTTGGAACCGCGGCATTAAGGCTCTTTGGATCTGATCTTGTCCTTGCCGATCTCGACCTTGCGGTTGCCGACGAACAGTTTGACTCCGCGCTTTCCCTTCTCCACAGCTGTGGCTTTCAGGACATCGACGCTGGTTGTTGGCGGGAGGCCGTTATGCCAGTATTGGGCGAACCCGGGGGTTGGGACTCTCGCCGACTGCTGTATCCGCCAACGTCAGACATAGTTGCGCTCACTCCTGCCAGCTGCTGGCATCTTAACATCAATCCTGATACAACCTTTCTCCTGGAGACCGATCCGTATCGATTTCCACATTTCGTTGCCTATCTCGAAGGTAATCCAGAATCTAGGAGTCTACTAAATATTGTGGCTACTGACATCGGGCGGGTACCGGCACATAGCTCTAATTAGGATCCTCGATACTCTTCGACCTATTAGAGCGAATTCGGTACTTGTTAGACACCACTACGCAGTAATGGTGGAGCTTCTACAGCAACGGCCAGAGCTTAAAGAAAGGATTTCACCGGGAGATCAATTTTTCATAGACTTTGACATGAAGCAGTTCAAACTGTCAGGCCACCTTAAGGTTCTGAAGTTGCGTAAGCGTATCATGGACGGTACTATATCGGTTGAAACTGCAAGGGAACTAGTACCAAGGCCTGATTTGGCAAGAAAGCAGATCAAAGAAAAGTACCTGCGCCTGCGAGCTGAGGCGGAAAATAGCGAAAGGAACGTCCCTATGACTTAAGGGGTGCAGCTTAAAGGGAGTAAGCGTGGTCAAATGGGCGTTATGGCACGTTGAGATATTGTATATTATCGGGAACCTCTACTTTTCTTGCTAATCAAATTCCTGTACCTTAGCTAACTTTCCCCTCTTTATGCTTTGCCAGCACGAGCGTGACTGAAGGGTGTACTTAGTCAGTGTTCCCAAGCGGCTGGCCTGGACCATGGGTCAGCGTTCCGGCCAGTCCGGGTGTTGTTTTGAAAAGCTTGGGTCAACCTGGTTGCAGCTATTCAAAGCCCCCAAAGCCCCGCAGCGCCCAGGCAACCGCCAGACCAGCAGCCCGAGTCAAGGCCACAAGATGGCTAGGTAATCTGAAGTTATTTGTGAACAGCCTGCAGTCTTTGCACTTCTAATCACTCCGAATGGGAGAATGAGAGCAACATGCTTCCGGTGCTGTATTTGTAGATTTTGGCTGAGACAAATTTATGTCATCCGCCGATCAGCTATCACGATACCTATGTTTACTCAATCCTTCTGCTCTCCTACCTCAAGATACTCTCTTCAATTTTTTATAAAACCCTATCCGGGGTGAATATATATTAACTGAGTGATTTTGTTATGAACAATTAGTCGTGTTGAATAACAAAATATTTCTTAGAAATGAAACACGAGCGATTGCGTGAAACCGCTGCCCGCATGCCCAACTTTGTTTTTAAAAATCCGCTTTCCTACAGTCCGGCCTGGCGTCCCACCAAAAACAGCCACGGTCAGTGCATCCATGCCCAAAACCGGACAGACTAGCCGCTTAGGTTCGCTTGGTTTAATCGCCCGGAAGCTCTCCCAACAACCCAATTCACAACTAAGCCTCACAGGAAGTATTAAAGTTATTGCATCCTGATATTCCTTTTTCATTCCTGTAACGCACGATTACTTCAATGGCCCACCCTGGAATACTAATGTATTTACTTCAATAGAACTTGAACCTTACATTGTCTAGACACCACTAAAGATTCTAATACGCGGGTATTAGTTGTATATTGGAATAGTGGAGTTGGAATAAAAAGGGGAGAAGGTAAGAGTGAAAGAAGAAAGAAGGAATGGTTGCGGCTAAGAGAAGACAAGAAGAAACAGGAGCAAACAAGGGAAAACTTTCGACGCTTGCGTGTCGTCACCAGCGCATACGTGCACTTCCGCGGCCATAAGAGTGCGGCGCTTTTCAACACTTTTCAACATCTTCATTGCCCGAATTAGACGAGTGATTCCCTGTGATGAGAGCATTGCGTGGGGCGCGGGGAAACGAAATGGGAATGACGGCGACCGGTAGAATCGTGTCGGGTGCTAGGTCGCTTCGGTAGCTATGTCGGGAACTCGGGTACGCAGACCGTGTATATTTGTGACTAGGTATAACTTGCTGTATTCATAGAAAACGATACCTCCTTGTTCTCAAATCCACACCACGGGCGTACCTAGGTTCCCGACATACCCCCCGAACCGACAGAGCCCCCGACACGACTCTACGTTTATCGCAAGAAGGCTCTCCGGAACCCTTCCGGCTATTTCAAAAAGATCATGTATGATAGGAACACACGTACTCGCACGGCTGAGTTGAAGCTAGACGCCTAGTTTAAGAGCCAAGTTAATTCCCATACAAGGCGTCCGGACACCTTCAAATAAGCTGCGCGAGAAATCTCACAAAATAGAGAGCCTCCTCCTCGAATCGCTAATATACTCACGTACCCTTCGGAGGTTTCTGGCCCCGCCGCGCCGTTGTCGCTTCAGCGTCATTTCCCGAAGCTGTGGCGGTGCCACAGCCTACAGCGAACCAAGTACCGTTGCACATCTTTTTTTTTGATCGGCTTGAATCCTAAACAACAGATATGCGTACCACAGCTTATAGAGGGGGATATCGGTCAGGAATTTCGGCCTTGTAGTCTCCACTTGAGTCGCAAATCCGTCACCCAGACTGGCTCCTCCAAAAAAGACCAATTCTGTAGGTGGCACGACGGTACTGATTACGATGGTGATTATGCAGTCTTGTCTTGCTATGGCGATCCGGGGGATACCGCGCTACATGTCCTGAAGCTTACTTCAGGGCCTGTTCGCTCGATTACCTGCACTGAACATAGGTAGAGTGCACTATTGGGTTGTAAAATAGGGGAGTTGCCTGTAAACGTACTCGGGGCACGGGGAGTTTCAACGCAATCGTGCAAACTATAGTGGGGGGGCCGTGAGGCTCGAAGGCATTACGTACTCTGGGTATTCAGGAGCTATAAAATACCGGGGGTTTTCCCTTCGGACAAATAGAGACAAATCAAGACATCGTGGGGCTTTACTCATTGCGATAGGGTTCAATTTCCTCTACACTTTCTACTGACCATCCCCGAGTATTAATTCCACCCCTCTTTTTCCAGCTAGGTCCCTCTATGAACCAACCCTGGCCGCCTCGATAAAACGGAGAGGAGTGAGTTGGGGGGAGCGTGCGGGCCAAAGATGTCGAAGCAAGAATGCAGGCTCAGGGGAGGAAAGAGGATGTCATACCGGCATGGCAGAAGGGCAGCCAACTTATGCCCGATGGCTCAGAAATACGCAGTCCATTTCTTGGAGACGTGGATTCAATCGAAACAGTGAAGCTGCGGTACTAGACATCTCATCCGTATATCACCGTTCTGCCATCGAGTAATCATCCCATAGCTAAGTGTGGCCAAGAAACACCCTTAAAAACCCCCCTAACAAGGAAAAGATTTTACAACCCAACTATACATTAACCAACTAACTCATCCTCTACATTATTCACTTTCCCCCACGCGGATCACGAGCAATCACGACTTCAAACCTGACTCATGGGTCCCCAACTCCTATCACCACCACCACCCCTCCTCATCATCCCCTGAATCCCATAGGCACTGAACCCAAAGCTAGCCAAAAACGCCGCAAACGCAAACCAGTAAAAAGGCGTCATGGCATTCGCCTCGTGACACCGCCTGGCAGGAGAAATATACCCTCCACTATTGGTAATTCCGTATAAGGAGGTATTCCTATGATATTTCTTGCCTGTTTACCTGTAGCCCGACATGCCCACAATAACCTGCGGCAGAATACGTACCAGCTACCAAGATTAGTCATCTCGCAATTTCTGGTTAAGAACATCTTGCTACTCGAGTACTGTACCGTAAAAACTCTTAAAATCCGCCATCGGAGTATCAGCCATGATCTGCGAGTTGGCCCAGGATAGGTTTAGCCCAGCAGGTTAATGGAATTACGAATACTGGTTAGCGAGATCAAGGTGCCAAGTGGGCCGATCTTTTACTGTGTTGGGAAAACGCTAATTCCCCTCCGAATGTCTTGACTCAGAATCCGGAGAATAGTAGAAGGCTACCTGAGATGGCGGATTATCATCCACATTAAAGAGCTTTTGTTTTTATTTGAGAAGGCTGGGTGGAAGCTCGGGGGCTTCTTGGCTAACCATCCGAGAATAGAACTAAACTCAATACTACCACCTAAGGACCAGAAACTTGGGTGAAGAAAGTGGGTGGCCTGAGGTTGAATAATTATTATAAAATGTTAGTACGTACAGGGGGTGGGGAGGGGGGATTCTTGGATTTGGAGTTTTTTGGCTTCGCTCACTTTTTTTGGTCGTAGTATTCTAGCCAGTCAGTAATCCCTGCTAAGCAATATATATAATATATTTTGCCTTTTCGCGTTAGACTTTATCTATTCGCAGGGTGCTACTACGGTTGCATAAGATTGTTGTATCCACCATCATGAAATATCACTCGGTAAAATAGCTTGTCATATGAGGCTCTATTATGTACTTGCGCAGCCCGACTTGGAAGCCAGATGGGTTCTGCATTACGCTACGGGTCTGTTCTACGCTTACCATACGGGCACGTAGCGCCTGGCACCCCCTCCATGCTTTTGTTTAAATTATACCCTTCTATTGAATCATCTACAACGCCAACCCTATGCGTTTTTCTTTTCTAATCACCGACCTAGCAGCCTAGCTTACAGGTATGATACCCCGCCTCTCCCAATTGTGCATGCATGACATCTAGCAGTACTGATAACCCCAATTCCATCCTTTCTACTTTCCGCTTTTTCTTTCATATTCCTGCTGGTTCGCCCTACCTTCCAAACCTTCCCCGGAGACAACCATTTAAGAGTTTATGCTGGTGTGTGATACATTGCACCCTATCTAAAACAAGGGGGCATAATAGGAAAAATACGGTAAAAAAGAATTAAATCCAGTTGAAAGCAAAAGTGGTAACAAGTTCCAAGAGAGGAGAAAAATTGTTTTCGCCCGGTCTCGAACTTAAGCGGGGGATCGTCAGTGTGTTAGACTGGTTGTGGTTCCAGTTCCGGAAGGGGGAATGGGCGCTCGGAGCCATGCAAAGCATGAGAGTGTTCAACCGCATAATATGGTGTCCGACCAATGACTGACTCATCACCTCCCTATTTAGGTTTAGGGGGGGAATTTGATCAATTATTAGGCGGTTTCATGGTGTAGATACTAACTACACTACGAATCAAATACAAAGTAAAGTTAACATCTGTATATAAAGTATCAGCTAAGAAATAACAGTGCCACTGCAACCCGAATATTTCGTCACCACGGCACAGCATTTTGTGCAAAGATGTAAGAGTGTTAAAAGCTAATTCGTTTTTCATGATGATCATAACTGTGACAGGGTTGTGGCAGAGTGACAACCTTGGCACGGTTACCACCAGCGGCTGATAGGTTTATCATACTTGAGTATATGGGTGGTCCAAGATCAGCTAGTATATGGTAGAACAGGGTTTATCATACCATAAAAACTCTTGAAATCTGCAATCTCTGTTATCCCTGTGATCTCTGGCTTCTGGGTTGGATTTTTTAGGAAGGATTAGCAGTCTCCCGACATGGTATAGGGCAAGCCACTTTGCTTTGTTGGATCTCATTAACTTGGTTTTGGAACTTGGTTAACTTGCTAAGCTAAACCTATCTGGGCTGATACCTCAATTTACCGGGATATTCGTCACAGGCCTGTGACAAAACTCAGTGTAAATCACGACAACAGCTCACGATAGGTTTAGCTTATGGATTTAAGCACGATAGTGTAGATTCATTGATATTACTGTAGTTTAGCTAAATTCAAGATATTAAGCTTGCAAGATTAACGAGATCCAACAAAGCCAGATGAGTCAGGCTATACCGTGTCAGGAAAACACTAATCCTTCTTAAGGGATTTTAACTTAGAATCCGGGGATTAGGGGCAGCCGGAGATATTGGATTTCACGAGATTTTACAGTAGTTGATTTTATGATACTAATTTTTTCTTTTTTTGCCCACCCACCCACCCCTCCATTAGCATTGCCCCTTCCTCTATTTCGCCCACCCACCCGCCCCTATATTAAAAACAAACACAAAGGGAAAGCAAATTATTTTTTCTTAGCCCCCACCTCAGCCTGAGGCTCAGGCTTCATCAATCGCATCTCCATTCTCGCGAGCTCTAACAAAATCCGAGACTCTGAGCCCGAAACTGCCTGCTTGATGTTCTCCCGCATCCTTTGTTCAAGTTCATGGATGTTCCCCTGCATCCTTTGTTCAAGTTCGTGGATGTTCCCCTGCACCCTATTTTCAAGTTCGTGGATGTTCCCCTGCATCCTATTTTCAAGTTCATGAATGTTTCCGTGCATTTTTCTTTCAAGTTCATTATCGGTATATGCAAATTTAAGAACAACCCAGCGGATAGGTCAGTAAAAGACAATTAGATAACCCTTTTGCAGACAAAACATACAGTAGAAATAACTATAGTCATAATAAACTTCGTCCAATTATCTTGACGGCGAAACCTGTCATCAACCTTCTTATCCAGAGTGGTCAAATCCTTTGGAAGAAGTGTTAGTACGGTTTCGGGTTGGTGTGGCACTCTTGCCTTTATCGTGGATCCGTTGGAGGTTGTCTCGGTTGTCTCAGTCTTGGTGGACTTGGTCTCGGTTGTCTCTGGCTGGTTTGTGGTAGAGGTAGTACCGTTGTTGCCCTTAGCCACAATATCACATTAGTAAATTGACAGATTCCCAATGCTGCAGATAACTTACAAGAGTTGAGGCAAACATGCGATTAACCATCACCATCCGCTGGGTGGTGAATGAGAAACGCAAGCCGGAAGGGGAATGACGTCTGAGGAGTAGCATTTTGAAACGTCTTAACACAAGTGAAGCTGTGTTCTGCCGGTAGAATGTAAAGTACAGGTTGAGGCCGGAACCGACAGAAAAGAATGTTTAAATAGAGCTTTGTTGAGTGATGGTTACCCTGCTTCAGACTAAATTTTCGCCGACATTTTCGCCGACTGTGTATGTTGCCGACTGTGTATGACTTGAGCCACACCTAAACAGGAAATCGTGCTTGCCATAATTTTTCATTAAATAGAGAGTTTGCGCATGCAGACCTAGGTGGCGGTAAATTTTATTAATATATTATGTTATCCTAAAAGGCTTAGAGACCTGGGTGCCCAATCACACCTGGTCGAGGCCTAAAGGGCGGTTTTAAAGACCTAGAATAAGTTTCTAGAGAACATGAAAAATATACAACACCAACATATTTCTATGGATACCAAGCGAAGCTAAATGCAAAGAAGCTGCGAGAGAAATAAAAAATATGAAAAATATGATAGTCATGTAATAATATTGATTTCACATTCTCCGCTCCAGCTATCGACACCTCACATTGTACTCAGCTATCGTAACCCAGCCGCCAAGTCACCTGGATTCTATGCGAAAACTCTTTCCAGCATCTAGGTCCTTTTTGTGGTAACTGCCACATAGGTCTGGTGGCATAAACTCTCTAATCCACCATCGTTGATCGGAGACAATAGAAACACCCTATGAAGGAATAGCATTTTCTCAACGAGTTATAGCTGGGGCAGGCTGAACTTGGTAAGTCTTGTCAACTGGTATTTGCAATTTTATTAACCTACTCTGCTAAATTGGGTTTTTGGACTGGCGGGCAGGGTGCCCCACCCAGCCCCAACAAAGGTTCACCCGATCGGGTTTAGTGGAGGGCAAGTGGTATTTTTTCCACATCCAACGTGGTGTAGATACCAACTACACTACGAAACCACTTTAACACTTTTGCTAATAGAATATGGTCCTTAAGACTATGTAGGATGTTGGTGGTTTTCGGGAAAAGGCACGTATACTTGTTAGCTCGACGAATTTTGCATGCCAGTACCATATTACGGTAACTAGAATAAGAGAAACACAGCTCATGACGTCTAGGTTTCCCCTCCCTGTAATGCGTGGTTTTATTTTGCAGGTATTCTCTCCCCTTACATGCCAAGATAGGCAAATCAGACGTCCTGACATTGTATAGGTCTTTGCGCGTGCATAAGCAACATTAATCTCACATCGGGTGTCACTCAAGAGTCCCGAATGGGGTACTCGAGTACTGGACTCGAGTCCAGTACCGTACAGTAACCAGAAAAGAACTGCGGGCGCTACTAGGATAGGCAACTCCAACGTCCTAGAGAAATTCCCAATTATTCCAAATTTTGCTGTAACTTATACGAATGCCGCCTCAAACCGGGCCAAGGATTTATCGTAATAATAATAAGTTACCCGTTACCACTTGCTTAACAATCTCCTAGCGCCCTTGTTGTATCCTTGTGATGGGTGTCGTTGGAACATATTGGAGAAAAAAAACCGGGTTCCAAGCTGTATAAATACTTTTTTTTTCTGAAAAACAAAACTATCTGGTGCTTGAGAGCTTATTTGTGCCCAATCTAGATTATCTTTAACCACCTGCTCTCAAGGGTGTAGTAGCTCCAGTCCTGCCTGTCACAAAACCAAAAAAAAAGAGGGCTACGGAAACTTGAATTCCTGGTTACTCTACTTAGGCTACCTAATATGGACCGAGAATGATAGGGTAGCGGGACCCAGTGCCTCCCTCAGATGGTTCAGCGTTTTTCATTCAAGGAGGTGGTTTCCGCCACCCCATCCTCCCTGGCTCACGATCGGGTATCCTACAACGCATTTCCTCAGTCTCTGCAAACATGTCCAATGCGTTTATTCTGCCAAATCATGGCTCATGTGCTATGATATCTATATTAGTCTCTATCGCTACCACCTCCTGCCCTCTCCTCCTGTATCTGTTTTAATCTCAGAAACACCCTATAGAATAGTTGCATCCATCTCGTCTGGTTTTCAGTCAATCCCTTTCCAGGGCCACGGAACGAGCGAACTGTAATTTCCTTAAGCCTACTCCGCAGGATTTTGAATGCAATTAAACTTTTCCAATCTTCGAAGGCGAATTTCGCCCGGTGTCCATCAAGTATCATTGTACCCGCATGCATCTAACGCCAGAGTCAGGTCACTCGTCTTCTATTATTTCATACTTGCTACATGCCTTATAGTCAACATCTCCACAGAGTAGTGCAACTGCAATGCTCTCCACATGGCTGGTTTCGTGTGCATAGGACCTGTGATATTGTTAAACTTCTACCGGCGTACAAGATTCAAAGGAGCTTGACCTATTGGATTGCATAATGCTATGGAATGCCAACCACTCGCTATTTGTGTGTCGGTTTACCGAGTTTGGATGGACGGCAATAGTATGGTTGTTGAGAATATTTCGCCATCCCTTGTCTCCCTTAGCCAATAGCTTAGGGTAGAAGCTTGCAGCAATAACCGAATTCACTACAGAATCGTTTTCGCTGCTGTGGTTGACTGACTCTGGGACAGTGAAGAATTTGCGCCGATAGTAAGTAGAAAATCGGCATCTGGGCGACAAGTGAGCATCACACCCCGAATTAGATAGGAAGCCTACCGGTTTAACTCTGTTTTCTCCTCCTCTTTCAGGGTTAGAAACTTAGCTTCAACCACAGAAACAAGAAGCTGCTGCTTCAATTCCTCAATCCCAACTAAATTTCGGCTACTGAGATAGTTTTTCTGGCAAAATTCACTCTCAGACATCATTGTTTTCCTTTGGCAAACCCGTCTCCACGAAGAGTACGCATTCCAACCAGTGAGCAGATCAGAGTCAGCTCTCTTGAAAGACAATCTGCAAGATTCGGCTTCCTTTCTGTGTCCTAGTGGGGTAACGAAGGGAGACTTCGAGGATAAGATAGCTGCAATGGTGAGGGCCGCATCCAAACATCCATAAATAGAGCCCATGAGCACCAGTTTCCCGAGATAAACATCCAGAGGCAGCTTTGCAAGTTGACGCCCTAAGGCCGTAAGCTCTTCAGTCACCGTTAACGCTTTTACCTACGGACCGTCAGATACTTCGTGTTTCTCGGAATCATGGGGTCAACCTCAAGTAGGGAATCTATAGCCCGCCTAATATTCTTTGGTAAAGGGGCATCGAGTGCCTGCGATAAGACCTCTTCAACTTGGCCGAGTTTGCAAATTTTAATCCTCAACACGAGATCCTGAAGAGACAATCTCATAATTTCAGGAGTCTGCTCTTCAGTCATCTGCCGGGAAAAGTCAATAAATTCCCCAAATCTGGGTAGAAAGGACACCAGAAACGCATACCCAATTGTTGTGTTGGATTTTGGTGAACAAGTGAAAGCATAGCCCTTTTTGAACTCTTCCAGCTCTACCCCTTCTTTGTTTTGCATTTGCCTGGCTCACAAAGGTCTCCACAAGTCTGCTAAGCTGCCTCCTTTCATCAAATCGCATTTCTTTGTGCTTTCCTGTATCTATAACGCAAGTAACATCGGGAATTGTTATTCCAGTTTCCGCAATATTAGTCGCAATAACAATCTTCCTCATTCCTGGAGGAGGTATCGAAAATGCTGCCTCTTGATCCTCACTTGCGATCGTTGAATGAAGTGGATATATCAACCATCCCCCATCGCCCTGATTACTGCCGAGAGTCGGATGTGCCATTAACATATCGTTTAGTCTTCGAATTTCGGCAAAACCAGGCATGAAGACAAGTATCGCCTTAGAGTAGTCCACATACCCAGGTGAGCTTCCAACAAAGTCAATAAGACGAACGATCAACTCATAGTTGATAAGACGGAGATCCAGGCGGCACAAGGTATCCTTTATCTCGGGTGGGTAACCCCGCAGATCCCCGATGAGAGCACTAGCATTCTTAAGCTCAACCTCCTCCTCATCGTCCTCCCACGCACCTTGATTACGTGATCCTCGAGCATCATCTTCAACAGTATACTGAGTGAGTCTGATAGCATCCTCAAGATAGTGAGTCTCCACGGGGAACGTCCTTCCCGGAACCCTCATGACTGGCGCACCACCAAGATATGCTGAAAATTTGTCTGCATCGACAGTAGCAGACATGAGAACAACCCTAAAGCCATTAGAATCATCGAAAAACTTTTATTGAGTGCGAATAATTACTTTAGGTTCTTTCTCTGCGCCAATAGCTTCTTCAAAACAAGCAACAGAAAGTCGCTATCTATACTCCTCTCATGAACCTCGTCCAACACCAGATGAGTCACTTCTTCTAATTCTGATGACCTCTCAAGCATGCGCATGACAATACCCTAACAGAATCAGCGTCGCCCATTCAAACCCTACAGAAGGAATGGGAAAGAACGCACCGTAGTCGCATAGATTAACCTTGTACCAGAGTGCATTCTACCCTCAAGCCTAATAGCGTATCCAACAAGTGAATTCCTACCACCAACTTCGGATTTTCTTTCACCTAGCTCTTCCGATACACGTCTCGCAAGAGATATTGCGGAAATTCTACGTGGCTACCATTTTTTAGTAAGATACATGGAGCGAGATGAAAGAACCATTACCTCTGTACAGTATATGCGGCAAGCTTTCCCCTGGGAGAGTTCGCGCTCCAAGATGAAAGCAGGAGTTTGCGTGCTCTTTCCGCTATGATCGAAAGTTAGAACATTTTACCACTCAAAGATGCGTGAATGATTTTCTAAATACCATCCAGTTTCACCACATATAATAACCACTTGGTTATTTTCCACAGCAGCCAGCACCTCTTCTTTGAACGCCCACATTGGCAACTGCCTTCTATGTTTCAACATCTGTTGATATCCGGAACGATTTGTTCTGTAAAACCAATCTTTTTTTATTGCGTCTGAAACCATATTCCCGGGCCCCACCCCTCTAGCCGTGGTCCCTTGCTCCCCAGAGCCAACAGTTTTAGTAATCCGAGCCTTCCTTCCTGCGAAATGATCGGAGCCAGAATGGTCGAATTTTTCTATATTTAAAGTTTTTTCCAAATGCCGGAGAACCTCCCGCTCCTGCCTTCCGGATTCCAGTTGGCCCTCATTCAGCAGCTCAATCCACAGCTCACGCCAAATGCTTGGGAGCCGAAAATATATTTTTTCATCCTTTTTACCGGATAACTTGAAAAGGGCATAAGTAGCAATGAAGCCGTCCGCTTGGTCCTTACTCATCGCCGCAATTGATGCCATAGAAAACGTAGTACAAAGCAAGCCCGTGGATGAGATAATAACAGGTGGGCGGGCACCATCGAGGGTTGGAGTTATAGGGGAGACATCGACAGACGATGATTCGGGAATGGAAGACCAAGTAATGATTAGTTTGCTCCGGGCCGAAATCGATGTCCCCGGAATCGCTTCGAAGCGGATTCTGGAATTCGCATCCCTAAAAAAATCAGCAAGCCCGGTTCCGCGATTCTTGGGGCTATACTTACCGGCTTCGGCAAAGCTCCTCCAAGACCCTCTTGACCGCAGGTGTACCAACCCCTGCTTTTCCTTTCGGCTTCCCTTTTCCAAAATTTCCCCCAGAAGTGTTGACCAGCTCGAAATCTCTGACACCCACTCTCTCATTCTCACCCCCTTGCACAACGGCTGATTCTTCTGTCGGTGCTGGTTCAAAAAGGCCACCCATGATCCCCAGATCCGTATCCGAATCCTCTCCCGTATGCGGCAAATAGACAGGGGAAGTAGACTCTGTCTCTTCTTTATCCTCGCTGCCTTCAGAGTTGACTGTATAGACGACCGACACTTTAGCTCCTTTCTTAGTGGTGGAGCCCCCTCCGCTCTGCTTTCCGACCCATTTTTCCTTTTCCAACCTCAACCTCTCTACACGCCAGACTTCCTCTGCTTCCCGGAGGTCAAACAGCGGGTCACGGGTGAGTCCATCAAGCCTTTTGTGAATCTTGTTGAGTTGTTCCGCTTCGGCAGCAGAAGCGCTAGCTATTGAGGAAGCTGTTTCCTCTTTTTTCCCCTTAACTTTCCTGCCAGCTATGATTGTAGAAGCAGGATGAAGGTGATATTTTTGCGTCTGTAGCTTGATGTATTGTGGAATTAGTTCCTCCGGCTCAATCTCCACCTCTTCATCCCCACTATGATCACTTTCATTATTCCCAACCCTCTCACCCTCACGGGAAACATCTCTACTTTCAAGACTCCAATCAGCAACCTGACGCAAGTTTCCAGTCAAATGACGCCTGTCAGCCCCGAAGGGCTCTCGGGGAGCAGATGCTCCAGAATCAGGTTTCGTTTCACTAGGTGAGAAGTCTGATGGCACCATTAGTATTCGGGATACAACCCTGCTTAGGTGAGAACAAGCACCTGATGAGCCTGAGCACACTTCTTTCTTCCCTTTACCAGACTCATCATAAAACCCCGGAAGCTCCTCTTCCTCGCAATTGAGTGCTAGCCAATCAAACATTTCCTCCAATGCACCATCTAAACCTTTTTCTTTATCAAGAACTGTGGAACCGTGACTGACTAGTGCCTGCAACCCCTCCTCGACCCTTCCCTTTGGAAATCCCATGGAGATAAAGGTTTTTTGTAGAATCCAAGCATTCAAGAGTAAAGATTCTCCTCGTTTACATTCAGTCTCATTCCCCCCACGCATTTGAAGGAATTCTTCCTTAGCAAGCGCCAGAATCTGGTCACCCACCCCAAGCTCCTTCACTCCGCTAGTGATCTTTAACCGGTTGTTATAACCCACAAAGCCGAACTCGAGAAGTTCGTTCAACTTCAAAGGGTAGTAGTTACTCCTAATTGTGCGTTTCTCGATCTCCGCCCTGGCCACAATTCTTCGCGTTTCCTTCCTGACCCCTGGGCCCAGCTTTTCAACAAGCGCCTTCAATCGGTGCTCCTCCGTCTCTTCCTCGTTCGGGATACGTGAAATCTCATCAGACTTTCCCGGACGCCGCTCCGAAGGCTCCGACACCGCAAGAGGGTCTATCTCTTTTTCATCCGGACCTTCGGGGACTGGCGCAGGTGTTTTCGTTTTGGATGGCACTGAGGTAGTAGCAAACCCGCGTGCAGGATTAGATGCAACCTTATTTTTCTTTTTTCCACCCATTTCGAAAATTGAACCTTCTCCCCAGATACCGTATGAAAAAACCAGTATGAGGGAGGGGTGCTGATTGATAGTGATGGATGGTGGGCCTTAAACGGCCAGAAAACAGCGGCTGGTGGGTTGAATTGAGGCTGAAGATAAGATGTAGCGTCCGCACTGGGGTTTAGGGTATGTGATGTGAGGCAAACCTTCCGTGATCACTACAGCTTCCGAGTCCGCCGGTCGATCGAGGGGTCTAATATCACGAAGCTGCTATGTATCATACCCAGGGTAGCAGAGTGTTGGCCACACTCTCTTCCACTTTCAAGGGCAGCGCCAAGATTGCCCTTCCTACTGGAGAATACCGTATCATACCGTACTCGAACAGTTGCGCATTCCCGATTTTGGCCAGTAAAATTCGAGTCTGTCCCACCTACCCCAAGTTAAACCCATAACTTATGCACTGTACGAGTACAGTACCTTGATCGGCCAGCCCGCTACGGCAGGTTAGCCAAAGAAATGATGGCCCACCAACTGCAGTAAAGCGCCCCACGAAGTCAAGAGAGAAATGGGCCCTTGCGACGGAGGAAAAAGTGTTGTGCAGGCCCTATCAGTGTCCAGGTAATGGATCAGGAACTGCCTCAGTATTCTTCAGCGATGATGGGCGTTGGTGTGATCACCTTACGATAGCTAGATTAATGTTTGGCTATGTTCCGAAGTTTGCACATCTACGAAGTTGCAGTACCGTACCGGTAATTAACAGGAATATCTATGATCTATCCTACACCCTGATGCCAATACCGGTCAGTACCTTATGCCCAAGCCCTTAGCGGAAATGCACAGCAGCAGTGGAATGTTCTGTATGATCTCCCTCTTTCCCCTTTCTTCCGCCCTTAACTTAACTGCTCTGCAGGCCCTAGTCCCGACGGTCTGGAATACCGTTGGTTCACCAGCCGACCGGGCTCCACCCATCCAACCTACCCCGCTGCACGACAGCCAGCCCTCCACCAAATACGGCAACGTCAACCTCCGACTCAACACCCGTCCCTGGTGCCCTCACTGGCAAAACACCCAATGAATCCCAGTCACTCATACCTTAAAGGCTCTTTATCAAAAAGTGCCTGATTTAGACCCACTAGGACCTATCTCCGTGTCTCAAAACATCCCACAAAACCACATACATGGTTTCAAGCGAACCAGACCCCATCGATCACTTCCAGTGTTCCAGCTCTGACAGCGGTAGACTGGAGATGATAAGTAGACCATGTCTCATAGCCGTTTTGATAGGCCCGAACAGCCCTCCCGAGTGGGATCTCTCCCCATGGTTGCCCTCCATTCCAGACGATAGAGTATAGAGCGGGCTATAGGCCCATGCAAGAATATTCAAACCTCATCCTAGCCGCCAGTGAGCGTCCTCTAGTTATCAGACACTCGGTTTCATATCGCCAATGCGAACAATGGTTTATATTGGCCTTATTTCTCACAGGAAAAGATCTCTCTCCAGTGCGCTCCGATATCACAGCGACCCTCTACTGTAAGAGCACTAAGATTATATAAAAACGCACCTCTACCCGTTCCTCTCATTCTCCTCATTCTCAATACAGTCCACGACAAGCCAAAAACCGGACAGTCTTTACCAGACACGAGAAAATGGACCCCCCAAACCCCCAAACCCCTACCAAAGCAACGATGCCTGTAACCCCCTCAGCACCAAAGCGCATGCGGATACCCCACTCCTCCGAGTTCCCGGAGACCCCTACTCCAGATGCCTCCCATATCGGCATCCCCCTCAGGTGGCTGACCAGGAACGAAACCGATCCCGAGGATCCCCGGGATCAGTCAACCTACAACACAACTCTTACCCCGCCATCGATTTCGAACACTACCCCGATCCTAATTACCCCCAAATACTACCCTGGGTCCCCCCCCCAACTTCTTCCCTCTAGTGGTGTGCCTACGGTTTCCGAGGTTAGGCATCCACCCCAATGCACTCCTAACTTCGAAGAGGCATGCAAAACTATTCAATCTCTTGAGCGCTTGCTCCGAGAGGTGCGCCTCTTGCAAGCAGATACCTTTTTCGGCAACCCCTATTGGAGCGATTTGAATCTCTTTTGTAAGGATTTCGAGAGATTCCTGAGTCAGGAAAGCGATTTCTTCTTCATCTTCGTGGGCGGAGCTTCGGTGGCTACTGATGCAGATCTGGAGGGGCTTCGTATCGTCGCCCAAGCCATCTTCGATGAGTGGAGTGGTATGAAGAAGGCTGTCTTGACAAACAACCCGGGCGAGGAGTTCGAGGATGAGGATGCAATAGTTTTTGATTAGGGATTGTGGTATTCAAGGTATCCCGAACCTTCCAGATTTTCTTTCCGGATCATCCATCACGATACATCTTTGTCCCTACTTTCTCCACTACTGCTATCCCGGGCATAGCAATAGGCATGCTAGTTAAGGGGCATAAACAACGCCAAGTCCCAATCCTCCAATCCCCCATTCCCCTCGATCAACTTTTTTCCCCTCATTGAAAGGGATTTTTTTTCTCACCAGATTACCCCTTACCCCATAAAACTAATCCTAATCGACAATCACCAAGTATCTCTTTGATATTCGTATCAACTTGTCACATATTTTCAAACATCTATCCTAATAAAAATAAAATTTCTGCACTTTTACAAGCACCTATTGATATCAAGCATCTCGCATTTCACATTAACAGCTCCACACTCCAAAAAAATATCTTAGGTACATTATAACAAACGCCACCACAAGTAGGGCCAACGATAAAAACCCCCAAACCTGTAATGCCCGCTTCAACCTCGCCTACTCAGCGCGCTGCCACCAGTATAACCCTCCACTCAGCCTTTGCAATCCCGGTCCACTTAGCTTCTCTCTCTCTTCTCCACTCCTCCGATTCACACATTGCTCCGTAATCTCCATTTCCCAGATCTTCTTCCTCGAGTCTCTTAGCCAAAGCTCTCACCACAATATTGCCCCTCTTCGTACCGAGTGGCAAAAGGGCCCGAATCCTGCGCCACATATCCTTATCAAACAAACCCTTCCCCCACATGCCCACCAACATGTCGTGATCCAACCTCTTATCAAACATTTCCAACGCCTCCTCGAGCACACCTTTGCGTGAGTGAACGTTCAACTCAATATCTCGCCCCTCCTCCCCCGCTACCAATTCCGGCAGATACTCATCGAACCACCGCTGGCAGAGAGGCCGAAGATCCCTTAGCCGCCTACTCTCGACTGTGACTTTCTCCCTCCTCTGAGAAATCTCGACATCCAGAAACCGACACCCGGCACAGAAGTCGAACATCTCCTGAACAGAGCTAAACCCCCTCTCGTACTTCTCCCAATCACACCCAAAAAATTCCACCGCGGCCCGGGGATCATCTGTCAAGTGCACCATCGCTGCCTTCTTGTTCACCTTCTCAATGTGCTCGACGGAGAGGCGGACACCAGACTGATTGACGCAGATTCCCACACGCCTCCCCATGACCCCCAGGATATTCCACAGATCGCCGTGGGAGCGATGGAAGGTCTCCCATTCGATCTTTTCGGGAGGGCACATGAGTATGTCTAGCTGCACGTACGCTCCCATCTCGGGTTCGTAGATTGCGAAATTCGCCGTCGGGAAGCCAGGAAGACATTCCTCTGCCCCGAGGAGTGCGAAGAGTTCCTCGCTGGTGTAAGGACGGAGGGGGGAGGCGACGAGAATGTCTATGTCCCCGTGGATGATCTTCTCGGGCGCATGGGGCGCTACCCTGACAATTTCGTGGAGCGTTTGCAAAAGAGTGGTGAATTTGGACACCAGGCGGAGGTAAATATCATGCGGGATAGGTGGGGTGTTAAGGCTGAATGCGCGGCCGCCCATTTTCGACAATAATATATTCTCTTTGTCTCTTTTACAAAGGAACGAGATATCTGGTCACCCTAAGAGGAGGGGGTTTTTTTTTTCACCCACCCGAAATTCAACAGCACTTATATACGGGTTGTGAGTCAGGCCTACTATACCTTTAGGCGTCGAGATCTGCTCAGCCACCATGGGTGGGTACGTGTCTCAAATGCTCACGGCAGCCTACATGCATCCTTGCTTGCGGTTAGTTGTCCCGATCGACATACATACTTGCTTACAAGGAATAGAAAGGAGGAGATTGGCGCCTGTGCCTGCAACCGTTGTTTGAGCTGGCATAGTGTCTATCCATCAGATATCACTCGGGAGAAGAAGAGAACTCGATCCCTCGTGAAGTTCAAGTTATGCAGCTGCTAATATTCAATTTAGGCCACCCGAGAAAAACACAGAACAAAAGTGCAGCGATTTGAGTGATAATCTGTGGCCGCTGCGCCTTTACGTTATCGCAGCACTTTGCTATTTCTACTGAACAAGGGTTGCTTGGAATCAATATTATGCTCTGTCCCTGTTTTCAAGAACGCAAGCCCCCTTGCACCACAATATAAGTGACGGAGGCAAAACGATACAGTCCTCCATTATTACTACTACCACCCACTGTCCCTGGAAATGGGGTGGCACCACTCACTACTCTAGTAGTGAGAACCTGTGAGAACTGTATCAGACTCAATTACTCCCTCCTGTCAGACTCAATTACTCCCTCCTGATCGGATCCAAATAGCTCTCTTTAGAATTTCAGACCGTCTTCCAGCACCCATGTAGAGGCCCGAAAACTTCCGCTCCAGGCCTTCCAAAGGATACCACGCTTCATACACAATGTCCTGCATCCTCGAGAGACTTCCCGGCCAACCAATATCCTTCTCATCCCTTCTCAAAGAGACACTTTAGACCCCAACAAACAATTCTCCCCCCTCGCAGCAAAACAATTTAAGGCCTCCCCTTCCACCCACCCACCATTCTCACCCCCGCGCCATCCGCTATCTCCCCCAAAACAAGCATCATGCCCAGATTCCCCAAAGTCCCGAGTTCCCCAGACTTCCTCTTATACACACCCTACGTCCCGCCCATCGAACCAACCCCCGTGCCCAGCACACCTCCAACAAAAAAGGACCAATTGGTGATAGCACTGACCTGGTCCGACGGGGTAAGGAAATTCAATCCACGGGCTGTGGATCGCAAAGTAAGGATAGCCTCTGACTTCACCCCCATCGACGGTCACGACGTAAAGACACGGGAATGGCTGAGAAGAACGACGAAGTGGCCAGCCAAGCTCGCGGATCCACTATTCCGTAGTAAAGTCGGTGAGGGACAATGTATGATTTTCGAACTTCCGGATGGGTACACTCTTTACGAGAGAGTGCATTTTCCAGATAAAGTACCTACCCCGCCCCCCCCCCCGCAATGCTTTTTTCTTTTTTCTTTTCTCCCTTCCCTCCCTAGGAGGGGTAAATGCCAGGAAGTTTTTTTCCCTTATTTAAAAAAAAAAGAATTCTGAGGGGAGGTAGGAGCGTAGGGGAAAGGCCATCCTATGAAGCATACCTATCTATTCGGACACCCGTCCGGGGGAACGTTCCGAAGTCCTAAAGAGTTTCAAGCGCACTACCTGTGGATGGCGTGCGATCCCATGAAGGATCGGAAGAATTGTGCATGCAAGCTCTGCGGAAACGCTACGGCGAAGGAGTAGATTTGTTTGGGCACTGGGTCCACGATAGATCCCTTCGGGTTCTGTCTGTGCATTCTGCATGGGAGAAGGGGGGGCGATGACACGATCATAGGGAGGTGAAAATTGGCAGGGCGGGAAAGGTTAGCGATACCCTGTACAGTGCTACGAATTGAAAGATAGTTGCCCACTTGAGTCGCCCACTAGAATCACGGAAGTGAGGTTGTATTACGAGTGATTCTCAGTGATGTATGTTTGCATTAGCGTACCGTAACTTACCGCCAGGTGATTGATTATATGCATTATAATATGATGTTCCACTACCTAGTTACATGACAGTCCCCGTTAACGAATCTCTACCGGGATCACGTAGAATATGTCTGATGGAGCACTCACCCAGAAGAGGACCCACAACCCTCTGAAATCATCCCCATATCACACCAATGCTCTCCCCACCGGCGTAAAAAAGCCAGTTATCACACAATTTCAAACGCCAGAACACACGAAGACTTACTTATGCCAGCACTCAAAGAACATACACCCAAATTCCAGCATTTACAGAGCACAGCGACCCGATCTATATCCCAACCCAGGAAGAAGCCCAAAAACGTGTATCAAACAACGACGCAAAAAGAAAGATCGTGCCCAGAGAATAATGCGCCCAGTCAGGTAGGGGTATCGTATCATATCATATCATACCCAGTCCACCTACTAACTAATTAACTACTCCTAGGGGGTAGAGATTAGAGATATATTCCCAGGTAAGTATCATACCCATCATATAATCCTCCATCCCATCAACAAGGAAACCCCTCCCCCGCCTCTACACATAAAATTACAAATCATCACGTATCAAAAAAAAAAAAAAAGAACCGCATCCACCTACCTACCTACCTACCTAACCTACACAAGGCCAAACCCGCGAATAACCCCCTACAGTCGCCGCCCGCATCCCCGCCGGGAATGTACATACAGTCAACGGTTGCCAACGAACTCACGTTAGCCGTATGTATGATACCGTAGCGATCGTATCATGGGAAGTCACTCACGTTCACTACTTTCCTCCCCTCCCTCCCCTCTTCCCATCGCTACGAGTATCCGTACTCGGGTTACGGTATTCGTGGGATTGGGGGGGGGGGGGGGGGGGGGGTGCCTATACCATAAGTGGGTATCACAGGCGTATGCGACAGTCCGGAGTGATCATGTCTCCTTTTTTTTTTTACCCTCAAACTGGAGTGACTGACTGTCATAATTTTGCACGATTGAAGAGGGGTCCTCCCTCAATTAGGATTCGAACGGGGGAGTTTGAGACGGTCATGTTTCTATTGGTGGGAAACCTCGGACGATGGGTTGGGTTGGGTTGGGTTGGGTGGTCCGTGTTATATTCCATGTCTGTAGTGCCATCGGTAGATGATGGTAAACAGTTCAATCGAGTTTGAGTTCATACCCACTCACGGTATGATATATACTATATTCCAATACCTGATGGTTAGGTTAACGGGGGATTGCCACGATATAAATGCCAGTTTGTAGTGCTGTGCCATTACAATCATATCACTCTTACAAAGTACTATAAAAAGTCAGGCCACAACACCCCCCCCCCCCAACAAATTTTAACCCACCCAAATACGGTAAAGATAGATACAACTTCGGGCAAGCTATGATAGCCAAGTGAATCCACCCAACTCCTACAATACGAAATCCCATCAATAACCCTTCATATGATACGACACTCAAGTACGATACCAATACGCCGACCCCTCCCCCCCACCCACCAAAACGAACGGCGCCACCCGCCTCCCGCCCGCCATGAGATCCAACCTACGACAGCCCCAATGCAAATACCATTCCGGTACAGTACTTGAAACAGTGGAGCCGTCAGCTCGCTCACAGTATGGCCAATAGTCCACTGAGATTCACCTCCGATAGCTGTTATTAAAGTATGATAGAGCGGCGCAGTGTGATGGGCTCGGGATGCCGGTTGATTAGCTAGTTAGTGGGTAGATTTACTCACGTGAAATGCCATCGTAAGCAAAGTATACAGGTATCATACTGTACATGTTTTTTTTGTTTTTTTTTGTTGTTCCCGCTCCCCCGCCTAACTTATGTATCGCATCTGCCGGCGATAAGAGTGTAAAAAGTTTACTTTTCCTAATCATACCGCAGGCTTAATACCAAGGCTATCGATTAACGAATACGGTACGGTGGGGCGTGGTGGGAAAGGGGTTGTGGATCAGAAAGGGGAATATTATTTGTAAATCAGGTGCCATCATATTGTTCGCCAACATAACTTCCCACTGGTAAAGGCCTTCGGTCAATCGAGTGAGAGTGGATGCTACAGCATCGCGCTACTTGTAGTAGTGGAAAGCGGGAGGGGAGGGGGGAGAGACAATAAGGCGGGCAGGCAGACAGGTCATCTCCCTCCCTCCCCCACCACGGCATGGTACCTGTGGATCATTCTTCGCCTCTTTACTCACGCCTCCCCAGGAAGGAATTTCGGCCGCACGAGCATACATGCACCACTGTAGTGCTAGTATGGTGCCGGCACCTTAGAATCAACCCTCACGACAACCGAACTTTCCCAACTTTCGGCGGGCAACAACGTCACATATCATTATTTTACTTATTCCTTCTGTATAATCCTCCTAAAACATATAAAGAACACATTTACAGAGCAGATTTCACTCAAGGGGTGTGATTCTTTCTATAACAGCTGTTAAAGTTGAGGCAAAATTTGGGTGGAGCGAGGAGGTTGGCACTTGTATGTGAAAAGCAGGTTTTTGCTGAGTAATACACCAACACATTGCCTAAAGCAGTATGGTCAGATACTACATTAGGACTAGTGCTCGGACCCCGGATGGCACTGAGGGTCGATTCTAAGGTGCCGGCACCATACGAGTACTAGTACTGGTGCAAGGAACCCAGAGGGGGGGGTTCATCCACTCCCGCCTGTCACTGTTGTCATTGCAATTCCCCAATTTCCTAAGGTCCATCTTATCCGCTCCACGTGAACCTGCTCTGTGCCGCAGTGACGCGATGTGCGACTTCGAGGTTGTGTTTTTGTTGCATCGCGTTGGCTAAAGTGGGTGAAAGAGAGAGGTCCTTCCTTTCTTGGAAGTGTTGGTACGGTATCACGAGCATGAGGGAATGGGATGGAGTCGGGTGGGCTGCGGTGCCCCTAATTTGACGCATGGATAAAGAAGCTTGTCTGTCAGTCTGCCTTTCTGGTTGCCCGTCGAGGCGACGAGACAAGACAACGAAGCGAATTGATTTGTTAAATTTCCATGAATGGTGGAACGGGATGGACGAGTAGACGTGCTCGCATGAATAGATAGGGCATGAAGCCTGAGGGGTGAGGAGATACAAAACAGGATAAGGAGGCGGGGTGAGCTCATTCCGACGAAACACCATATTCGTATGATACTCATTCATTATACATGTGAAATCGGTAAATCAGCCACAAAAAAAAAAAAAAAAAAAAGGACAAGCCATATCGGTAAACGCAAACACACCCCTTTTCTTTACCGTAAAAAAAATGAAAAAAAGACAGCTAGGCAATACAGCAAAAGAGACAAACTACGAAATGAAGGAGAAAAGAAAAAGTCGAGAGAGAATTGCCCATTCACATATACACACGAATAGAAGCAGCATCTGTTTTCCCATTTCGTAGGGAAGGAATGAAAAAAGAGCGGGAGAATCCAAACTTTATATAACCCCCCACGCAGAAAGCAAAAGCGAGACAACTCTTAACGCTCAAATGGGTCAAGGATTGTCCCTATACCCCCCATCCCTTGGCGATATCGGTGTATGTAACTCGTCCTCTTCCAGGAGTCTTGTGAGGGCCGAGTCGCCGCCTTCCTCCCTTGTGAGTGAGGAGCCTCTGTTTGTGCTCGTAGGCGGAGCTTGACTTGTCCCGGTGCCCGAGGTGATGGGATTGGTGGCGGAAATCATGGATGCGTTGGGCGCGCCATCTGACCTTAGAACCCTGGGTGGGGCGGAGAAATGAGCGGATCGTGAAAACGCAAGAGATGGGAAGGTATTGGGGGGAGAGTAGTTGAATTGGTTGAAACAAAAAATAAAAATAAAAAACCACTGGCTCCCCTCGACGATAGCGGACTAAAAGTGCCTAAGGATTAAGGAAACACATAAAACATAAATGGCAAGAGGTATAATAGTGAAAGAAGGGGAAATGATAATGGCACGACATGAAATAATTTTGAAGGAAATAATGAATAAAAAATAAACTTCAAAACTAATGTTTTTAGTTTCACTTTTGCCTTCCTCACTTTTTCTGCAAAGGGTAAAGGGGGGCGCAGACGGACGGTAGATATGGATGGATTTCGGGTATTCCTTACTCGTTCGCGGTGGATATCTTGTTTTGTGGGTCCTCGCGGATCTCCGTTACTTGCTCACTTATCGTGACTCTGCGTTGGGGAGCGGGTCCCGAGGACAATTCTTGCGCGACACTCGTGTCTGCCCAGGTTCGTCATGTTAGTAGTCTTGCCCACAACATACAATACAGTGATACTCTGCTAGGCAGGGGATGAGGGGCGGGGAAGAACAAACCAGGCATCTCATATAACTGCCTTCCAGCCGTCTCAATAGGATTAGTCTGCTCCTCTCTCATAGGGCTACCGACCACCGAGGCATCGAACGGATTTGAAGGCTCGCTGGGGGCCGGCTCCACCCACTCCTGACCGCGCTTCTCGTCCCCGTAGACGCCGAGGAGCCACGACCATGTCTGGCGGTTCTTGCGCACTGTGCTGGCTGCCGAGTCACTCTGTAGGCGCTTCCTTCGCGCTTTCCTGCGGCGGAGGCAAAAGAGGATTCCGCAGAGGACCGTTATCAGAACGAGCAGACCAAGGATCGCGCCGAGAAGTGGTGGCACATAAGATGGCATGCCGCCGTCGGACTTATCCGGATCGGGGACGACGGTGCCGTTTACTACAGGGGGGTTTGTGCCGGTGCCGGAGACGGATGGGTAGGGCCAGTGGTTGGTTACTGTCTTGGTGTACTTTATGCCGAAGAGGTCCCGGATTTCAGTGCTGTTCCATGATGAAGGGGTTACGTTTGCCCCACCCTTTTCACTATATCATCCCCAAGTTAGCCAATGCCTTTAAATCGTAGGGGGCTGGGTGCCAGGAGCTTGCTACTATTTCTAGGATGCAGCCCATCCCCTGGACAGGGTCAACGATTGTATGTGTCGGAAAATTCCAAGACTTACGTTCCGCCAACCGCTTTGTAAACCACCTCTGGAACCTTATAGACATCGTGAACCGCCGGGTCGTATTTGTCCTCCCACTTCAAAGTATTCAAGTTGAACATCTTGACAATTCCTTCATTAATGCAGATATCATTCGAGACCAGCGCCCCCCCAACAACCATCATCAAATTATCCGCAACCTTATGGCATCTATGTCCCCTTCGTCCATGAGTGGAGTCCTTGTCGTCATAAACCTTTACCCACTTGAATGCGGGAAGCGAAAGAACGTAGACATTTGCCGATGGCGGATTAGCATTAGTAGGAAGGTTGCTGAAGTCTTCCCAGCCGCCGTAAGCGTAGATCTAGGATAAACGCGGTAAGCGAGTAATTCACTCAAGCAAGGATCCGGCGGTGGCAACCGCTCACCGGATCGGGGAAGCTTCCGGTTTAAAACGTGCATCTCTTATCTGGCGAGGAAATGGAATTATGAGGAACCAACCTGAAATGACTTTCCATCTTGAGATGCGGCATAGCTTGTGCAGAACTCGGATGTCGCTGGCGGTTTGTCGTCTCCACTGGTTTGCTGTGTGTACCATTTGTCGTTGGCGATGTCATATAAGTGGACATTGTCGACGAAAGCTTGCCCCATCGTCTTCTGCTCATCGGTGACGTCGGTTCGATAGTAGACGAGGTCACGATTCAAAGCGCCTCCAATAACCACCAACGTTCCCTGCGATCCAACAGGCAGCCACACAACCTCCGCATTCTTGCGCGCGGGAACACCCGACGGGATTGTTTTGTTATCCCACTTCTCGCTTCCCATTGTCGACATATCCACCGATATCAGGTTGGTGCTGTTGTATGTCGCCCTGTAATCGTCGGGCGCGGACGCCGTCGAATAAAATTCACCCCAATCCCTACCCTGGTTTTGCATATCAGTAAACGAGTACCCAACAAGCATGTGAGGGAGGGGGGAGAGTGTTTAGAGGAGGGAAAAGAAAAAAGAAAAAGAAAAAAAAGTAGAGTTCCTAAATATAGAACCCTTTCCTGGGTGAATGGGCTATTCCTTGACTCACCGTTGCTCCACTGAATACATATGCCCTATTCTCAGATGGCACATTGACGGAACCCCCTGCAGCAATATACCGAGTGACTTTCTCGAGAGTAAGGGTTCGATATTTTGGGGGATCCTGCAACGGTGTCTCCCCGTTCTGTACCATATCCCTCGCAAGCGACCATGTCGGCCCGACTGCTTGGTCTTTATCGCCATATTCCATGTAACCCCCGTAGACAATGAACTGGTAGTCGTTCGCTAGCATGAACCCATTCTTAAAGTTGGTGCCCATGTTTGTTTCGGGCTTAGCAGTTGACTGTATGGCCGTCTTCCCATCGTTTGCTAGCGAGAATGCACTCGTGAGGTTCAGGTAGTATAGCTGGTGTCTCGGTTCTGCGCATTGCCGGTCAGCTTGCTCCGAGTGCTCGACGGGTTACGATATGGCTGGGCAGGATGGAAGTGAAGATACGTACTCGAGTCTATTGTCGTTTTTCCATCGTCGCCAGTGACTTGCCAGATCAAGGTACCACCATCGAGGAAGATTGTGTCGCGAAAGAGTGCGCCTAATTATGGTTTATCACGCCGCATTGTGAACATGTTAGATAAGGATTGTTTGGTTTTTTTTTCCCCGTTCATCTTCACCCTTTTTTCCTTTCCTTCTTCTTTTTCCCTCTCCAAAGACAGAAGGAATATCCTAAAGCTCATGCTGAGCGGCGAATGGGTTATTAGAAAAAACTCACTTTGAGGTCGATTCCACGAACACATAACCTCTCTGTCAGCGGCCCGACGCCCGAGGCTCAGCCCCGAACTATACTCAGTTGCCGGAGCGCTATGGGAACATGAAAACAGAGGGAACAGGAAAACGACCAGAGCAGAAACCTCCAGTGTGGAGTGCCGCGACCACGGAGAAAATCTCATAGCGGATCGGAGCGGAAAGGAAGTATCGCGATAGTGCTTGGGATTTGTCGGATATTTAGTTTGAATTCTTCTAGTTAATATTGAATAGTGAATAACACTATTGCTGAGTTCGCAAAAGGGACTAGAGGGAAAGAAGAAGAATGGAAAGAGAGTGGGGGAGTTGAAGAGGAAGATGCAGACAACCAGTGCGGACGGGGCCTCTCTACAAGCCAGAGCCGGGGGATTCCCTTCTCGCCCCTGCAGTGGAGAGCACCGCACTACGAAAAACCGGTCTCACACGCAGGATGGAATGGATGGGTGAGTGGCGGTAAGGAATGGGCAAATCCAAAGCAGCCAAGGAGTGGAGGAAGCGTGAAGGCAAAGGCAAAGCAAGAAGAGGGGAGGGAAGGGAAGGAAGTCAAAGGGGAAAGGCGTGGGCCTATAGCACCCGAGCGTGGGCAAGACGAACCAAATGGAGGAGGAGGGGGAATAGCGGTACCGGTATTGAGCCGGTGCTATATGGGGAAGCGACTGAGAGTGGCAGACCGGTTCACAGGCCTGGGTCTCCGAAAGAGCCGCTGAGGGGGGAACGCGGCTGTGAAGGAAGCAGAAAAGCACGATAAAGTGGCAGCCATCATACAAAAGCTCTCTACATTCTTGGCAAATTCGTCTGCATTGTCGGCACGAGAACAGATTTGCGGTATGGGGAGCGGTTGGGGTGGTAAGGGTACAAGCACACCTGCGAGTGATGAATGAGCATGATGGTTCGAGTGCTTGGGCACACAGTAGCGGAAAGGTCTACTGCAAACTCTACGGGATACAGTGCGAACGAGAGTAAGTAAGAATGGCCTATGGGCAAGGTTGGGGACGCGGGGAACCTGATATATAAAGTAAAATAAAATAAAACATTAAATTTTCAAGGCGATTAGATTAATATACAAGTACAGCATCCTCGCTGCCAGGGAGGGAGGTGGAGTGGAATTGGGTGAGAAAGACAAGGGAAGCACAAGAAAAAGTGTGGGCATTCACTCAAGCCTCTTTTTGCCCTTCTATTATGGGTAGGAGAAGGGTAGTGCACCGTGTCCACCAGGTGCAATCGGGACTGTTCCAGTGACTAGACCAAGCTTACCATTACCGTGCCATTTACCATATTACCGGTATTGGGCAATCCTTCCATCAATCAATCATCACCCATTAATAACAACACGGTTGAAAGTCCACTCGTGCCAGACTACCGTATTCTATTGATGTCGGTGCCGATGCTGCTGATGGCGATGATGATGATGATGCTAACGAACCCAGTGAGCGGGGTCTCCAAGGTGTCCCCTATACCCTGATCCCTTCTCGCACCTTGTGTTCCTGGGGGTCGAAGACCCGTCCCATATGGTAGAGTACCGGCAACCGACCGAGCACCCAAGCCATTAAGCTGGTTGGTTTGCTTACATATGCCAGGTTGGTGTATCCCATCGCGGCGCTTCTTTGTGCTCCACTCGAGGACCGGTCTCGTATCCGCTCCTCTTCGTGCTGTCCACCATGATTGCTTGACGGCAATGAAATGGTCACAAGAGGAGCAGAAGACACATCCTTGGCAACAGGGGAGAGTGAAATCTTGCCACTAAAATCTCGTGTCTTTGTTCCACTCAGAATCTCGCCGCAAGACAGGCCGGGGTGATATGGATCGAGCATGGGCTTCACAGCATGCGTCTGGGTGAGTAAGCGATTTTGAGTCGGCTGCAGCTCTCCTCCTGCCGGTCACCACCACGCGTGGGGGCTGTCCCACATGGGATGGATTGGATCACCGATGGCGAGCAACCGGTGTCCTACTGCAGAAGAAATACCGGAAATACCGGTACTGCGATGGCCAACAATAGCAGGCATAAAAAACCAGTGCGGACAAAAAAGAAAAGAAGAAAAAAAACAACGCACCCCGGAATGGGATAAAGTCAGAATGCGAGTAGCGGTACCGGTACAAGAGAGAGAGAGAGGGAGGGAGGAGAAAGAGGACAAGAAGGGCAATCCCTCCAACGAGTGGAGGCCCAGAATCACCGTGAATTAATGTGCGTGTGTGAGTGAGAAGAATCAGTCGGGGGCCGGCCACCGAGCTTGAGATGTGCTGTACGCTACTCGTAGAGTATGATAGCCCTCCCGTACCTTATACACATACATGTACTCGAGTAGTGTGCGGTACCACAAGGATCAGAGAGAGATTCGATGATTCGCAGACTGTACTCGAGTGTCCGTTGAGCGCAGCGGCACGACTCACCAGGCCTTCTACGGACCTACGGTAGTGGATGTCACCACTTGAGCAGCATCTGGCAAGGAAAAAACCAGATCGGTATGGGGGCTGCAGTGTTGTGCATGGTTTCCCGAGAGACTGACTCCCGTGGCATAAGATACAAATACAAGTACCTTCAGCCTACCATACCGTACGGTACCGCCACGGTACCGAAGTCACAGGAAACTGGCACAAGAGGATACGGTCTGGTATCTTTCTTTCTTTCTTTTTTTTTCTGAATCTCACAACCTTAATCACCATTCCGGGACCTTGCCAGAGTCTTGATCCTCAAAGATTCACAAACCTTGCTGGCTCTGCTATCACAAGTGTGGTGCTGCCAATCTTCTTTGTCAGTTTGGGGAAGGGACCAAGGGTGTGAGTGAGACCTCATGAGGCTCTGTTCCCTCATGGTGCTGTTGCGTACCTTTCGCTACAAGTACTTGTACCTTCCTGCACTACCGTAGGCCTTGATAAACTCGCACTGGGATACAAGTAGTGGGATTCCATTTCGGGCATAACTTAGCACCGCCTATGGGTTTATTTATCACCTCTCTTTGTTGAAGGATGGGTTTGTCCCAGAAACTCCATCCCGGCGATTAACCTGGCTCAGCAAGTATCAGGGTTTATAATATCGCAATGATCCATCATTGCACAGGCGTACCGTACAGTACTGTACCCGTACTGTCTACAGCGCACGTTTGCACATCATGTGAGTTACCCGAGTTTCCTACCGGTACCCAAGGATAACACTCAAGTACAGCACAGGACATACGTATACCCCTCCCTCGCTGAACACGATCGGACGCGACACGATCCCGGGGTGTTCCTACGATAGGCAGCAGGAATCTTTGCCTCAGGGCAGTTGCAGTACTAGAATACTCGTACCCCCACTTTATTCCCCAATTTCTTTTCGCTGGTGAGTTGTCTGTCAGATTCTCGTCAAACCTTTCCTACCGATACTCCTCTCTTCGGCGTGCTGGTGGAATATCATAATAATACCCCAATTGGGGCGGAGAAGGGTTGTCAACAGCCCACCTTACCTCCGGCCTAGCCTTACTCGTACAAGCAAAATTTCGAGGGGAAAGAGGGCGCTATTTGTTGGTGGGAGGCGCTACTCGTACTAAGTTGCCGTACTCAAGCGCGATCGGTTGGGACCAACCTGAATACTAATTCTGTACCGGTATTCTTGGCTAGGGTTGGGTCCAAGCTGCACATCCATCAGAGAGGGAGCCTGGACTCGGGTACCACCCTCGAGTGCTCTACCGGCATCATACCGGCAGGCCCCGCTGTCTTGTGTGGCTGCTGTGAGCAACAGGGATACTACGGTCTTGGCTGTGAGCCTATTTGACCCTTCCGTACTCGAGTATTCAATTCTACCGGTACGGTACACTACTGTAGGAAAGAAGAAGGGTAGGAAGAAAAGGAAAGAAAAAAGGCACTGCCTTGTCCTCCACTTTCTCCGTTAGGCTGTTGTTTTGTCGATTGGATCTGTTTTCACTCGTTTACCTGTCCTAACTTGGCTTGGTCCATCTGACTGGGAGACCGGATTCACGGATAGAGGTCAACGGGGGAGGGGAGGGGGTACGGAGGGAGAGGTACTTGTACTTGAGTACCGGTACCGGTACAGGGAGAAGAGGCGAGAAGACAAGGGAAACAGGGGGCAGGGTTGTTAATTGTGAGATAAGGGATGAGGGGGCGAGAGAGGGGGAGTTGGATTTTGAACTGCTCTTTTGGGACCCAGCAGTGTGTGTGGGGAGGAAGAGAGTGCCCGCCGAGTGAGCTTGTGTTCCCAGACTGGCCAAGACCCACCACCACCCTCACCACTTTCACCGACCTGCGCTGTTGCAAGGAAGGTGCTCGAGTATCGGTATTGAACTGTACCTTTGCTATTGTCTCATAGAGGGTCGGCCTATCGGGGGGCCGCGAGGGAGGAGGGACCTACAGCCAAGTGAGAACACTTGCACAAGCACTGGCACCAGTAGTACGAGTAAAGTACAACCCACCCCCACCCCCTCCTGTCCCCCCTGTTACCTGACTCTTGTTTACTTTGTTTTTGTGCCATTCGTGCCAGAGGCCGCTCGTCGGGTGCTAGACATATTAAGCAGCTGCTGCCCGCTCCATGTCCCACTCCCTTTCTTCTCCACCCCCAGGCTGCCTTCGTTCCTGCCCCAGTTCCTAGGGCCTCTCAGTCGCTATCCCTACCGAAAGTGTTTGCGCAGTGGAATACGGACATCGTTCGCTCGTCCTAGTTCTACTACGGAAATAGAGAGAGGGTCACTCGTTCGTCAATTCGGCCATCCGTCAATTCGGTTTTATTTTTTCGGTGGCTGTTTTCCTGGTTACGCTCGTTCAGACGACCCCAATTCTCATTTCATCAATTGCGGGTTGTCGTGAGATAACAAGACAAAGGCGGAAAGGATGTTGATTGGAGGGAAAGGTGGTGGGGTGGTTAGTAGGTTAGCAACGGCTTTCGGGCTAGTGTTGCTCTTTGCCAATGGGGCGGGGGCTACCGGTTGCAACAGTACCACAAAGACTGTCACGGCAACCGTTACCAGAGGATGCGGTGGTTACGGCGAGCCTGCTTGCCCGCAGGTTACTTTGACCCAAACTCGGGGATGTGGTGGATATGGCGAACCCGCGTGCCCGACGGTGACGGTGACTGCTACCAAAACCAAAGGATGTGGTGGATATGACGAACCTGCTTGCCCGACGGTCACAAATACGGTTACCGCAACTGCTACTACTACTGCTACTATGACTAGGGGATGCGGTGGTTACGGAGAACCATCTTGTCCAGTGGTCACAGCCACGGCAACGACAACAGTTACCACGACGAGAGGATGTGGTGGCTACGGTGAACCATCTTGTCCAGTGGTCACAGCCACGGCAACGACAACGGTTACCACTACGAGGGGATGTGGCGGCTACGGTGAACCAGCTTGCCCGGTGGTTACAGCCACAGCGACAAAAACGCTTACCACTACGAGAGGATGCGGTGGCTACGGTGAACCATCTTGTCCAGTGGTCACAGCCACGGCAACGACGACAGTTACCACTACGAGGGGATGCGGCGGTTACGGTGAGCCCTCCTGCCCGGAGGTCACTAGAACGGCCACCCAAACCGTTGTGATCAGCTCAACATTCACCTCAACTCTATCTGTCCCAACCACTAGTACGCATACCGAGAAGACTACTGCTACTGCTACTGCTACTTCCACGCGCTCCCTCACAACTACGGCATCATATACCACCACTTCAATAGTTACGACCACGTACACCTTGCCCGCCTCGACCA